ACGTGATGGCAGGAAGTGGACGGATTGCCCAGGAGGGTCGGATGTAAACGATCTTATTCTTGCCGTAGAGAAGATGTACCGCCACCAGTCTTGATAGGTTCGAATATATCCGTCCATAACTCACTCGCCTCTCCAACGGTGTAGTTCAAAGACACTTTATCCATCCCTGTTTCTTCGTTGCCCTCCATGTTTTCCAATTGCTCGATTATACTCTCCAGTCCGATCGCCTTTCCGGTTGCTTGTGTCGCGCCTGCCTCCAGTGCGACATGTACAATATGCACATGAAAATGGTAGTAGGTCGGTTGATAATGAACATACAATTTCAACTGATCCTCTTCCAAACCTTTGTATGAGTTCGCCGTAGCCTCCACAAACTTTTGCCTCATATGTCTCAGCCATTGTACATGTTTCTTCTTCAAATCCCTCAAACTCCATATATCTCTCCTCTCCACTAGCCCTAATAAATGGAGTCCCTCCATCGTCTTTCGATCCCAGTTCAGATCTGGCAATAATAAGAACCCCTCATCTCCATCTCGACCTTGTGGAGTTCTATAAATGACATCCTCTACCTCAGTCTTTCCATCTATTATATTGTATACCCAATTTAATCTACCTCCATCTCTTTTCGCTTGCATATATGGGCGTATCTTCTCTCTGTAAATTTGGGGTGTTTCTGTGATCATACGAAGTCCTTGCTTGCTATATTTCTTAATGTGCTGTTCTGTGCATGGATAGATGAGATTAATCTTCAGATCGGTAGGTTCAGTCGTTTGCGAAGGACCAGCATTGGCCAAATACCAAAAGTAAACATCATTTGCGCCGAGATTCTCGAGGGATTGGACAGTGGTTGGGAGAGAAGATAGATAGTCTGAGGAGGTAGGAAATGGAGCGCGCTCAAGAATCAAGAGACATGGCTTGGAATTGATTTGGCCGCAGAGAACAGAACGTCGTCCTGCTTGATCTTTGTAGGTAGACTAGTTAGATGTGGTGTTGTGGAAGGAGGTAGATTGTGATATTGAAAGTTACCTTGGTTTAGCAAACGATCAAATTTAAAATCTCGTATGAGAGATGTTGGAGTAGGAGCTTCTTCTGCCATGGTTGGAGTATGCGTTGATTTTATTATGGCCAGGCTTATTAAAGGTTGGGACACAAAGCTCCTTGGGGATAAGATTATGTCATCAAAAAGCGTTTTGTTGCACATCTAAAAATTTGCTGATTGTCCGCTACGAAAATACCAACCAGTCAGCATGTCACGCAAGTCCATCAATTAATCGAGCATGTGATATGTGTCAAAAGATGAAAACCTTCAGCTGTGTGTGCGACATAGGTGCTGATTACTCATCAAATTTCACTTACACGTCCAAGAGCGAATATGCATTAGCAAAGTCTCGTCGATAATGAGTACACCAATTGCAGATATATTCCGGATATGTTTATCTAATCAGTCAAAGAGTTCCAGCAATGCCAAGTATGGATGATTTGCAAAACTAGCAAGGGACAGTCCGTCAAATATACGCATCTAATAAGCTTGGGAGAGTGTCTCTTTCGAACCCGGACTGGCATATTGACGGGTGTCACGGTGTCTGAGATCATTTAGCAGTCAAATTAGTAGAGCTAATGAGATAATAAGATATTGAGGTGTGGTTCAAGACATCGAGAACGTCCAACGCTTGCTTGGAATGAATTCCATGCATCCTGAGCCACCTACGCACATTGACAAAAGAAGTTCGAGATTTCTTGGCTAATATCCTTGTTTCTTCCTAGGCTTTTGATCAAGAACGAGTACGGAGTAGTGAAATTGTGGGGTGATGATATGAACCATTATCAAGCTTCAACAATGCAGCACAATCCGAGAGCTTCAGCCGGCATAGAGATGTGCTTTGATCTTCCACCGATATGGTAGGTCAATACCTTCTCCCGCTCGGTATTCCTTACTCCGTTGGCTGCATATCTGCGATTACTGAACCTCGAGATATAGACAATAATCCATATGATAGGACAGGATAAGCGATAACCTTCCCCAGACGACTTACATTGAATTGTGTTATCTATATTCACAATGCCCTGCTTTCTTAGTTGCTGGTCGTTACGATCCTACGATCCACACCACCCACCACCACCTTCATCTCCTAAATACGGATGTACCATTTGTAACACCGCGCAGCAGCTTTCCAATTTTCCCCATTCCGCAACGGAATTAAGAACGTTGTCGCCGTGTACAAATCACATGATCAAGAGTTTTACATTCACCGCTTCCCTTTTCGTTCAGACGGTGCCGATACCCGTTTTCTAAAGCATTTCAGGCAGGGTCTAATTGTAATTTTTCCTCCCAAAACCCGCATGAATCTTGCCGGCCCCGCCAGATGAAGAACGGTCAATCGCCATCTTCTATTACATATCTTCAATCTCCAATGAGCGTGAAGAAAGTGGGGCCGCTCTCAGAGAGGCAGGCAAATACATCTTTTATATATAGAAAGAGTGAGTCCTTCATGTTTTACCTCGGTTTCCTTCTGATCTCTGCAATTATACTATACTCGTCATTCACTCAAAGTTTCATGTCATATATGAAGATCTTTTCCTTTCGATATCTTTTATCAATATAATCCTCTTGTTTCGGATTGACATTTTCTTTTTCTTCTTACTTTGTTCTTTTTGTCAGCGTACATTATCGAAGCTATTACAACAACAGATAAGCGCCGATAATAAGGGAAAGGATAGGAGGGCTCCTCACCTCAAAAATGACGGACTCGATATCGAGGCAAGAGACCCGCAAGTCAGGTGCATCAAAACCTGATTCGTCTCCTGGGCTACATCGATGTTTATCTGGAAATCACCTCGATGACACTTCGTATTATACAGGTCATCCTGGTGCATCTGAAGGGAAAACTGATCAAGATATGGAGCGCGATTCCACAATCGATTTGGAAGATACAGATACTGATGGCAACTCAAGTATATCGCCAGAAGTTATAGACGGGATTGAGGTTGAGAGAGATGTTGAATTGGGGAGAGAAAAGACACAAAAGAGCACGAAAAGTGTGAGGGATCCAAACTTAGTCACTTGGGAAGGGCCACATGATCCAGAGAACCCTAAGAATTGGAAAATTGGACGTAAATGGGCTGCAGTCTTGGTAGTTTCAAGTTTCACCTTTATATCCCCAGTTTCCTCTTCCATGGTAGCCCCAGCTCTGACTTCCATAAGTTCGGATTTACATATTGAAAGTTCCATAGAGCAAAGTCTGGTGCTATCTATTTTCGTCCTGGCTTATGCGATTGGTGAGTCGATTCTATCGTGGCAATTGTAGACAGAAAACTGACATGAAAACAGGCCCATTGTTTCTTGGACCGCTGAGTGAAATGTTTGGACGAGTCATTATAGTGCAAGTTAGCAACCTTATGTACTTGTTTTTCAATCTCGGCTGTGGTTTGGCACAAACCAAGGGGCAATTGATTGCTTTCCGATTTCTTGCCGGGCTAGGTGGCTCTGCCCCTTTAGCTCTCGGAGGTGGAGTACTCAGTGATTTATTCACAGCCGAAGAGCGTGGTAAAGCTATCTCTATATACTCTCTCGCTCCACTACTGGGGCCGGCAGTTGGTCCAATAGCAGGCGGGTTTATAGCCGAGAATACTACCTGGAGATGGGTCTTTTATGCAACTACAATTGCAGATGCGGTCATTCAAATAATAGGGTTGTTCTACCTTCAAGAAACATTTGCACCTGTTTTACTCGGACGTAAGAAGAATAAGCTCATCAAAGAGACTGGAAATCAAGATCTTCACACAGAATGGGATGTTCCAGACAGAACTATCTTCAAGGCTCTTTCTGTTAGTCTGACGCGACCTTTCAAACTACTTGGTATGCTTAATCATTTCATCACAATCCACTATTCTTTTTATCGTCACAATCTTCACAAAAGCATGAGAGAAAAGCCTCAAGGCTCAGTAGTTGGATAAAGAACTATGCTGGAGAAGAAATTATCTTCCTAGCACGTTCATATTTACACATAAGGCAATGATCACGTAGTCGTAAATCTGGCATTGAGTAACTCTATTGCCCGCGATCCTATAAATCCTGCCTTTGCTGACTTGCCGATCATCTAGGAACGCAAATCATCATCCAGGTGTTGGCAGTATATATGGCTTACCTCTATGGTATCATGTATCTCGTACTCTCCACGTTTCCCGGATTATGGGAAGGCGTATATAACGAAAGTGTTGGGATGGGTGGGCTAAACTATATTTCTTTGGGAGTCGGTTTCTTTTTAGGTACGCAAATATGTGCACCAGCACAAGATAGGATTTATCGAGAGCTGAAAGCACGTAACAACGGAGTGGGAAAGCCCGAATTTCGAGTCCCTCTAATGATTCCTGGTGCTTTGCTTGTGCCAGTAGGGCTCTTTTGGTATGGATGGTCGGCTCAAGCTAAAACTCATTGGATTGTGCCGAATATTGGAGCGGCAATTTTTGCAGCAGGAACCATTATCGGATTTCAATGCATTCAAACTTATATAGTCGACTCCTATACCAAGTATGCTGCAAGTGCTGTCGGAGCAGCAACTGTTTTGAGAAGTTTGGCTGGTTTCGGTTTCCCATTGTTCGCCCCGTACTTGTATGCGGCCCTAGATTATGGGTGGGGTAATAGTTTGATCGGATTTGTCGCGATCGGGTTGGGGTGGCCAGCTCCTATTTTGCTGTGGATATATGGCGAGAGACTTCGTACGAGAAGTACATTTGCAGCTGGATAAGACAAATGCGGAAATGTACGACTGGTAGGATGGGGGTATGGGTTATGATTGGCGGGTCGGATCCGAGCGTGATCGTATGAGTGGACGAAAATGACAAGCATAGCCATATGGAGTTTCTGGGCGATTTTTAAGGTAAAACGGCAGTGTAAAAAATACCCTTTTGCGGATCAAATTGATGAGCATATATAGCAATAGTAATACGATGACTGTTGAATTGGAGAACAAAATGGCGTCTGTGTTCTCGAATGACCAAATAGAGTTATGAGCCTGACAAGTGTATACTTCGGTCATCATTGCTATGAGAAATGTCTTGCTATATTGTATGCGAATCCTTATTGCAATGATGTTATTCGGTTGAACATTCTTCCTACAAATCTTAAACGAGAATGAGTAGACTATGCCACAACAAACTTTGATCTGATACTTCGTCGACTGAGCGGCATTCAGAAACTAGTGAAGATTGCGCAATTTTGTCGGTGTCCAAGAGGGCGTTGAAAATAAAACGTACTGCGGATTCTTTCCGTGTCAGCAGTAGACAAGGAATTTAAGTAGACATGGAGTTTACTTCCGCCGGCTTCCGGATTACTTCCAAGTCACAGAACTTTGGGAGCTCCATGTCCAGTCGCAACGATATCGACACCAATGTCTAGAATTACCATCAACAATGAAACATTCGACGTCCTTAACTCCTAGCTTTCGGAGAACAAGCAATGTGACAATGCGATACTACACTAACAACGCATCGCTTTGGGTGAGGAACACCCCATCTTTCAATGTCCAAGATTTGCTTCGACAAGGAAATATGTGGTTGCCAAGAATCTCACTCAGAACTAATTCTTCCTTTGGAATCTCGAATGTCGACAGGGGTTCATACTAGTTGAGAAAGAGGACAGGATTGTATGATGAGTCGACGATGATGACATAGATCTCGGAATTCCGTCCACTGCCAGTCGAGAGTGCTTGTCCGGATATACATACTTATCACCATAAAGTCCATCTGGTTCGATGTAGTCGCGAAGGATCAGGATCCCGAATTCGTCATGACGGGTTTGGCTTAAGGTTAACGGTCAACTGTCTGGGCTAGCCCAAAACGATATATCCATACCTATGTTGATTGCGTATAAGACATGGCAGTGAGAGGGATTATGAGATCCTATACGGTGAGAATGCGGCACAGCGGTTCTTTATAAACATAGATGCCAATCACGCCTCAACTGAGATCCATGGGGCTCAGCTAGTGGAAATCTCGAGCGTATGGGATAATATGACGATATCGTCAGCTCTGCTCTAGCACCTAGGCATCTCTTGGTTTGGAGAGTCTCGAAGCTTACATAGCCACAAATGAAGCTTTAAGGCTTTTGCGGACTGTTATTCATGGTGCATCTACCTGCAGTCGCCGATCTTTGAAGAAAATAAGACTCGTAAATGCAGGGCCAAAATGCTCACTGCACGCGTTGAAGCGTGCAAGGGCATTGTGTGTCTGCAAGGCTGGGGCACAAGGAACCAAGGGACCAAGGCCGTCAGCACAAGTGAGAATGATTCCTCCATCAGTGCTGACAAGCAGTAGCGACAGTAATAATTTGATAGATAGATAGCGCGGCCCTACAGGGCATAAGGAAAAGGAAGGATCTTGACGAGCTTGAGAGAATGATGCCCGCAATAGAGAAAACCCCCTCAGCGGCAAGCGGACACTACGTACATTAAATAGCATCGATTTTATCAATTCGGAGACACATACTTTATTATCGCCGAAATTAATAAGAGTTACATTGAGGAAGCAACATGACATTGAATTGAAAGATTTAATAGAAATGTTGGATATATGTTGGGTTGGAGTGAGCAAAAGAAAGTAATCTACATGCGTTTAGACATTTTGTCTGTTGACCTTATTGATAATCTGTCTTGACCAATCAGATCTATGCATTAGAAATTTCCTCGAATCCAATTGATATCTCCACTCTTTACATCCCCCCTCCCCCAATCACAAGTCAACCACTCTTATCAATCTAGAAGATTGATGGCAGCAGCATTCCATTTCTTTGCTTTACTTGGGCATTGCGCTTCATGAGAGAACATACCTATCTGCCCATATGAGAATCATCTCCATATCTAGGAAGAATCATTACTTCAATCTCCAGGAAACCAACTCGAAGGAGGATTCTTCTTCTACTTGTACATTCTTGAACACGGCCAAAAGTTCCATGGAACGATTAGTTGCGATAAGGACCCGAGTATATTTGTGCCTATCGCTTTAACGTAGGAAGGACGGAGATAGGAAACAGCTCTGCTTACAGCTTCAAAAGGGTTAATGGTCTAGGGTAACATTCCCTCAGAATTGGCAGCTAGAAAGGATAGGTCCGCGCGTGTGTACTCCGTAAATACTTATCGGATCGGATAAGCCTTGTCTACCGGCTACCAGGGACCCGCAGCGCACCACATCGCATCAATACCCATCAACGGATTGATACGGATAACGTCGAGGGGATAAGCTGAGGATCGTGCCCCTCTCTCGCGCTGGATGGCTGACGTACGGGATGCGGGTCATGTTGATGGAGGATCGTCGTCCTCGTTGAATAATGTCAAGATCAAACCGGAGAGTAATGTGACGACTGATCGGGAAAGCTCGACGTCGAATAAAAGATCGAGGAGTAGCAGAGATGCCGCTGCGATTAAGAGAAGGTGTGTTTCAACAGCTTGTGTCGCATGTAGAAAGCGCAAATCTAAATGCGATGGAAACACACCAAGTTGCGCAGCTTGCTCAAGTGTATATGGGACTGGTATGTTCATCTCATATCTTCAATTGATCGGTGGCAATTGGCCTGCAAGACTAGCTGAGTACTTGGACTGACATTGTGAATTGACAGAATGTGTATACGATCCCTTATCAGACCATAGAAGAAAAGGCGTATATAAAGAAAAGATCGATAGTCTGAAGACTCGAAATTCTACTCTACAAACATTGATACAAGCGATATTGAATGCCGCCGAAGAAGATGTGCCAAATCTGGTCCGCCAAATTCGGACGTGTGAAAGTCTCGATGATGTAGCAGAAAACATTCTGAAACAAGACCAAGCCTTCGGAGACGATGATGATGATATGGACGATAACATGGCATGGACATCATCTAGTTTGCCGACCTTCGAGACTCAATTATCGGGAAAGATGGGTGAATTGAGGTTAGAAAATGGTTCGGTAAGGTTCTTGGGAGGCACCTCGAATTTAATTTATCTCGATGCAGCGAGTGTTGAACATGGGGACGCTTTGGAAACGACTCAACAAGAGGAACCTCTCCTGTCATGGACTACAGTCACAAGTGATACAGAGGTCATCGTTCATTTGATTAATATGTATTTTACATGGCACTATCCATATTTTACGACATTGAGTAAAACGCTGTGGGTTTTCTTTTTCCATACTCCCCGATTCGAAGCTGGCCCATTTCACTTTCCCATCGTCTTGTTTTGCTTCAAGAATTACTGACTGATTGATATTACTAGGTTTTACAAGGACTTCCTTCTGGTATGTTTACTTGCCAGACACTGGCTCATTGTGTTCCACATTCAAAACAACCAGGGTTAACGGGATCCAGGGAAAACCTCCAGTGACTCCAAAAAGAACAATGTACTGTTTCATCATTATTAGTTAGTGAAGACTCAGCTTTCAATGTGATTATCTCCTAACGACTCTCAGGTCAATGCTATGCTGGCTCTGGGGTGTCATTTTACAAACTCTCCCCAAGCCTGTGCAGATCCAGGTGATACCGCTACTAAAGGTGATCATTATTTCGCGGAAGCGAAAAGACTATTTATTGAGAATGAAGAGTTCGAAAAACCGAGATTGACTACCATACAAGCTCTCTGGTGAGTATTTATCCTTATGTTCAAATATGTGTATCTAACATGATGGCAGCTTGATGTCAGTTCGTGAGGCAGGTGCAGGCCGAGAAGGAAAAGGTTGGGTCTACTCTGGAATGGCATTCCGAATGGCTCAAGATATGGGTCTTAACCTGGATTCCGGAATCAATAAAAACAGTCCAAAGGAATTTCCCGTTGATGAAGACGAAATCGATGTTAGAAGAGTCACATTTTGGGGCTGGTATGTTGAACTGATTCAATATATTCTTTTTCATCATTGTTTAATTTGTTCCCTGACCACAAGTCCGATTTTTCTGGTCCTTCAACTCCTAGCTTTTACTTCTAATGCAATATTAATTCCTCATTTTCTTGAAATTCGTTCTTTGATAACCAATTACTGATTCTCCTCGATAGCTTTCTCTTTGACAAATGTTTTTCGAATTATCTAGGAAGACTTCCTCTGTTATCGGTGACTGACATCACCGTCCCAAAATATGACGTTAAAAAATTCGATGACGATGAAATCTGGTCACCTTACACAGATAATGGAATTGGTCAATTAAACTCCCAACCATCAAGGACAAGAGCTGTAGCTTTACAGATTTCGAGTCTGTGTGAGATTAGTAGTGATCTTCTCACATTTTTTTACCATCCACAAAATGTTGAAAGGGGTGTTGGAAGATCACAGGAGTTAAAAAAGCTTAGCGAACTACAAACAAGACTCGAAACTTGGAAAAGAGATTTACCCAAGGAATTTGAACCAAAGGAAGGACAATTACCTAACGTCCTTCTTATGCAGTACGCAGTACTATATCTAAACTTCAACTCATTACTGATTTTTTATAGCATGTTTTTCCATCTTTTATACATCCATCTATTTCGGCCGTTCCTCAAATACAATCCAAGTACATCGCCTTTACCGACACATGTATCTCCCCGAAAACTTTGCACACAAGCTGCTGGCTCGATATCCAAGTTAATGCGTCTTTACAAGCGTATATATGGACTTCGACAAATTTGCAACATAGCAGTTTATATTGTTCACTCTGCTTGTACAATTCACCTCCTGAATCTTCCAGAAAAGACAGCGAAGAGAGACATAATTCACGGAGTCAAACATCTCGAGGAAATTGCTGATGATTGGCTCTGTGCACGCCGTACTCTTTCAATCCTCTCTGTTCTGGCTCGAAAATGGAATATCGATCTTCCCACAGAAGCGTCTGCTGTATTCTCTCGTACTGATAGCAAGTTTGGGTATTTCTCGACAGCCGATGTTCCATCGCCGAAAGCAGAGATAATAGCGACTACACCATCATCATCATCGTCACCTACTCATTTCCAGACTCCTGTGCATTCTCAACCGCTCCTTGCAAGAAGTCAAACCCAGTTACAACAGAGTTTGTATAGCTATCCTCTCGATTCAGAAGTTCCACTTGCGCAGAGTTTGATAAGCGATTTATCAGCGCAGTCTTCGCTGCCCAGACTCCAAAATGTTGTCTCGCCACCATCCGATCATACAGATTCCATCTCATATTCTACGACAACAAATCCCCTTCATATGTCACCTGTCTCTGCATATCCCCTCTCTCGTACAATCTATACCAACCCGACTCAACCTTTCGCTCATAGTATCACGAATGCTACTTCTACGGCTAATAATAGCCCATTGACTAGTGGGAATAGAAGTGCAAATAGAAACGTTAGCCCTAGTACACTGTTCGGTGGAGTGGAGCAGTTATTTCAAAGCCAGGATTGGTGGTTGCGGGACCAAGCGAGCTTAGTAGTTGGGTTTGAGAATTGGATGGGTGGAGGTGTTGGTATCGGTACAGGGCATAGTCATAGCTTGAGTGGTGATCTAGGTACCGGGACTGGCAACCAGTTTTATGATAATGGCAACCCCAATTCTAGGAACGGCGGTGGTAATACAGGTGCAGGGGGTGGCGGGGGCGCTAATAGAGGGTTTAGGGATGACGACTGGTTCTCATAATTGCTATGGGTGTTTTGATATAATACGATATGATGTAATACGATGATACTAGGATGGAGTTGAGAAGGGATTCTGTCGGGCTTTGACAGGGTGGTTAGGGTTATGATGATCAATGATCATGGTCGGGGCGGAAACAGGAGCCTGGCATGAATTCAGCTTAGGAGTTTTGTGGGATACCTGTGTTCTTGTCACAGTGGAATATTTTGATTTTAATAAGATGAGGATTGTATGTACCAATGATTCATTATATATAGATATGTATTTGGGATGATATGGTATGGTATGGAAAAAGATGGAGCATATTAGTACGGATAAGGTAAATAATTTGGAGTAGAAAAAACATTCGTCTTCGATAGTTGGTTCGTTTTTTGAGACTAAAATGGGTTTGGAAGGAATGGATGGTAAGTTTTGGGGATGGTAAAGAGTGAAGGTTGGCTGGAAGATGAATCGACCCCCTTTTCTCCTATTCAAGGATATGTTGATATTGAAAAATGATTGTTTCGAGTGAATGGAACATAGATTGCGCTCTTACAATACCTACCTAACTTATTGGAAACTCCCAAAAATCATATCACATTCATCTCTTTATAAAATAAAAAACATTTTGTAATTTTTAACTCTTAATTATGTGTGTATGATTTAGAAAGGCTAAATAAGTAACCAAAAAGTAACTCAAATAGCCCCTTCTATATCTTTCTCATCCTCATCCTCATCATCTCTTCCATTTTAATTCCAATTCCAATTCCAATTCTGATTTTCATATCCTATCTTATCTCTGTTCACATCTAATCATTCATATGCTCATACAATCCCTTCCCTTCCCTTTCCTTCCATCCCTTCCTTTCCTTTCATCGTCCAACTCGATATGCAAAAGGGTATTTATTATAAACCAAGTCCATCGATCGCTGTGCACCACGCAATGCAAAGCAAAGTAAAAAAAGATCCCCCCTCTCCCATATATGCTCATAAAGGTATCGTATCATGCGTGTATTTTACGTCGCGCTTCGTTTCCTTGCGTTACATTGCTCGGTTTCTTCATCCTCTGATTCCTCGGTTTCTTTACCCGTGTGTTCTTTTGTTCGTTTCCGTGATTGCATCTCCTTTCTATCTAATAGAATGAGTGCCTCCTTTTCTTTTTTTTTTCGTTTCCAGTCCAATCCCTCCTAGCCGTTGTCTTGTCCCTTCCCTTTCCCTTTCTCCTGGCGCGGTCCCTCTTTCTCGCCCCCAAGCCTAACAAGCACCCCCTCAATGACTGGCACCAACTCCGTAATCCTAAAGGGTTTCGTCATAACTTCATCCATACCGGCCTCCAACGCTTGTTGAATTTGTTCTGCTCTCGCGTTGGCAGTCACTGCCACAACTGGCACATGTCCTATCAGTTCTCTATTCTTTTCCATTTTGCGTATCTCCCTGGCGCATGTGAGACCGTCCATCACGGGCATTTCAATGTCGAGAAGAATGAGGGTGAGAGGAATGGGAGATTTTTGTGGTCGTGATTGCTGATGCAGCTGTGAAGGGTCTTGGGTTTGGTTCGGAATGCTGGTGCTCTGTGGGCTGGGTATTAGCATAAATCTTATGGGGAAATATGGCAAGAAAAGGAACGTGAAAAGGGGCCATCTTACCTTTTTTGATACAACCACATTTGAATGATCCACTCTCTCGCTCATCCAATTCGTCTGAGTTATAAACTCAACAGCTTCCTTTCCATGATTTGCTACGTGAACTGTACATCCCAACCGCTTCATTTGTGCCGCCAAGACCTTCTGATTACTAAAATTATCCTCCCACGATCAATTACACTCCACGAACTAGGCCTGAGAAAATCCGGAGTCTTGTTCGTTTTTGCCTTCTGGCTTTCTTCCTCCTCAAACCCAAATGAGTTGCGATTAGTAGGTAATCTTCCCTTCTCCTTCAAATCCAGGAGCTTATTCAACATGTTCTCTTCATGGTCCTTGATGCTTTTCGGAACATTCGTCGCAAGTCGCCCATTAGCTTCCAGATCCGAATTCATCTGCGATTCAACATCCAGAGTTTTTGCCCTTATCAATGCACGACGGCATTTAATGTAGAAAGCGAAAGTACTCCCAACCCCAAACTCTGATGCCACGCCAATTTCTCCACCTTGCAATTCGGTAAGTTGACGTGAGATAAACAGTCCAAGGCCAGATCCTCCATAATGCACATGAGTTCGAGGCGATGCTTGAGAGAAACGTGTGAACAAGTTCTTCTTCTCGGCAGGTGTTAACCCACAACCAGTATCTTTTATTTCGAATCGAAGATATATGATTTGACCTCTACCCCATTCCTCGCTATCGGTAATATTTGCTTTCGAAAACCTGGTAGGAGATGGGAAGTATTCGAAATTGGCCAATGACTCTAATAAAGGTGGTTCCAGGGAGGCACTTATGGAAACATGGATTTCTCGTGTCTTCTCGTCCTTGGTGAATTTGATAGCATTTGTCATGAGATTAATCAATACTTGAGTCAACCTACTTGAGTCGAGCATGACACTGTCAACTTTCAACTCTTGAAATGACTTTTTGATGTCTAAATTGAGAGATATGGTATTCATTTGACATTCTCCGGCAAACATCCTGAGTCCTAGCTTTACCACCTCTACAGGTTTAGTAGAGACAGGTGTGATTGTAAGCAGATTTGAATCTAATTTGGAAATCATCAAAACATCATCAACAATTGATTTTTGGTGTTGAGCACAAAGTTGAATTGTTTCGGCGGCATCTATACCATCTTTCAAGATAGTCGCGAGTTGACAATCGCGCTCCTCCAGATCCTTGTTTGCTGCTCTGTATTGTTTCAAAGATGATGAGATACCATCTGCACATTGAACGATAGCGCTGAGTGGATTGCGCATTTCGTGACTTGTTATGTCGATAAATGAATTTTGCTGGCGCCTTGTTTCTTCGTAATCTTTTAGTCGTCTGTCTTGAATCTCTTCGGCCCATTTTATTCTGGAGATATCTGTTGAGCCTATGTTGTGTCAGTAAAGATCAGTTATAAAGTCATAGATTTAGTTGTTGCCAGAGAAGAAAAAGTCCTATGAAACTTACAGCCCATCACACTCTTCAGCTTTCCGTTCTCATCATTCTCTCCAGAAAATGTACCCAATACCCAGCGCTGAATAGTCAATGTACTCCCAGCTATGTCCCCTACCCATGGTTGTTCCATACGTGTTTCTATTACAAATGGAGTAGCTTTCTCTACCAGCGCGAACCATTGCGATCTAAACTTCGGTCGGTCCAACTCGTATATTGCATTCATCCATGAGAAGGGAATTTCTGCTAAGGTTTCGCTTTTTGCGAGACCAGAGATATGAAACCATTGCTCATTCGCGTAGGTTAGTCTCCCTTCTGGATCGAGAATAGCTAGGCCACCAGGAGCAAGATCACTGAATCTTCTGAAGTTTCGTTCGATTTCGTTGGCCTGGTTTGTGCGAAGTAAAAGTTGTTCAGAGAGCTCTGCACGATCTTCCATTTCTTTAGCGAATCTTTTTTGGAGCGTGATATCGGTGCAATATCCCATGATGCTCTTGATACTTCCATCCAAAGAAAATTCGTGCTGGTAACTCGCCAGAATCCAATTCTCATACTCATCACCAGTGATAGGATCATACCATGGCTTGACGAGTTGAAGCTCACCAGACCACGGCTGATTACGAGTGGTGAGTTTCTCCCAACCCTTCATCATAGTCGGAATGCTAGATGGAGCAATCGTATCCATCCAAGACATTCTAGAAGCCGTGTCGCGAGGCAGGTCCGTAATCTCGTAATAACGATCGTTGGCTTCGAGCAATGTACCATCGCTATCAACTGAAAATAAAGCGACAGGCGAAACTTCGGCTATACGTTGCAATCTTCCTTTCTGAAAAGCTAACTCTTCAGAGAGTTTCATACGCTCAGCAGCAGCGATTTCTGCAGCATCGGTACCACGTCGGATTTCATCCTGGAAAAGTGTGACCGAGGCTAGGGAATTTGCCAATTGTCTGTTCAAGATTTTGACGAAAGATTCGTAATCGGCATCATACGGTCTCCTAGGGTTCACACCAATAACTAAAAAGCCCAAAGTATTTTCAGCATTAGTTGGTCTCAGTGGCAATACCACAGCCTCTCGTGACGGCTCGCCAAACCCTCTCCAGTTATATCCTCGTGTCAAGCCGACTGGAAGCATACTATCCGAAAGTGATAACAAAGTTGGTTGGCGTGTTTTCATGGCCTCTCTCAAGGCTGGCACATATCCTCCCAGATGTCTCTTTAGATCGAGTCTGCTTTGAGCGCTTACATGTCCTTCTGGAACACCTAAAGAGCCTTCTAAAATAACCGACTTGATACTCGTAGAACTATCAGAAGAAATCGACCCTCTCGACGATGTTGCATCATTCTCAATATCATCGAGGACCGAGTAAAGCAAAACAAATGGGAAGTCATATTCGTTCTCGGCAAGACCGCCAAGCAATCAATTTCCAAAAATCCGACACAGATTGAGCAAGAGCTGTTTCTTTCTTCTGCCTTCGCCGACTTTCAAGAGTGTTCTCATCCTTCGATTGCTCACTACCTTTTGGGTCGTCTCAAAGGGTGCGTTGTAAACGCCCAGGAGCTCAGGGCTAGGGCCGGCTTTCCAGATGGGCGTCAAGCTCCAGGAGTAAAAAGTTTCCTCGACAAAACCTTGACGCTCTAGGGGTAACATTTGATCTGTCATGGCGATTCCTCTCCCTGTCCGTCTGCATTCATTGAAAATCTCGCCAACCTCCTCCCAAATCTCTGCGAAAGGACCTCGAGCGCCTGTCCCCATCAAACGTGGATGCTTCTGACCAGCTACAGTCTCCGCGTAAGTTTGATTGTACAATACGGTCAACTCTTCGCCCCAGAAAATAGCAGCAGGGTGGGGGTTGGCAATCACCATGTTGACGATCTGGCGAAATTCGGGCGACCAGCTGTTCATGGGACCTAAAGGTGTCGAAGACCAGTCCACACCTCGAGCGAAGACGATGTGATCAGAGAGATAACCTTCGGGACGCTCGATTGTCCAGTCTGCAACTGGAGACTCGGTGGCCCAATCTGAGGATGGTCCCCCGACCATCTCACTCATAATGACATCTTCATTTTGATTTTGTGCGCCACTTGCCGGGCTGTTTAAATTTGACACTTGGACATCTTTAAGGCTGCAATTGTCTTGTCGGAGAAGGTGGTACTCAAAGTTCCTTTTGGCTGTGAGGGTAATTACTAAATATAAGATCTCTCAACTCAACATCAATTTTATTACCACAAATTAAAACCCATCTCTTCCTGATTGTGAATCCAGACCAGAGAAACCCATTGTATGAAAACGATTGGCCTGGGTAATCTTCACTGGTTTGTTTCTGGACGAAGTCCTTGATTAGAGATCTGAAGGTTGTAGAGGCAGGTCCCCCAGAATGAAGTGTTGGAGAAGTCTGTTCTTCAGAGTTTGTAGATATGGTACTCGTGAGAAGAATATTGGACTGGAAAGCTTTGTTCATGTATTCTGGATCCAAATTATCTCCAAGGGCATTATGGCGCAAAAGATCAACTATTAGAGTGGGTTTAGGGTCGAAATTTAGAAAGTCTGTAAGACCTATTGTATTGAGTTCTTCATGTTCTCCTGGGGTATCAGATTCGGAATCAAGTAGATCTTCCTCATTGGCGCTTGATTGACAATATTCGGCGTCTCGTAAAGGCGACTGTGTATGGGTTGGTGAATCAGACAGCATAAGTTTTTGGGCCTTCCTTGACCTGGGTGACATCGAATGTTTATGTATTTTTCAGAAATTCCGCAGGTCCATCAGCACAAAGATGTTGAAATGTCACTTCCTTTGCCAATGCCCAATGTAAAATCGACAGGGAAGTATTCCGGCAGTGAATCTTTGTGGGTGTTGTTGGTTTTGAGATAAAACTGCTAGGATCTTGACATATTGGTAGGCGGTCGGTTGGGTAGAGGTTTCGGTGGAGGCAGTAAGTGTCCACGGGTATGTATGTATGTATGTATGTATGGGGAGATCTTTGAAGCGAAGAGTGAATGTGGGTGGTTGGTGGAGGTAATGAGTGAGTATCGATGAGGAGTGATATACTGTTATTGCTTATTCCTAGAATCTGTTTCAATAGGGTTGGGATAGATCAAATGGATTAAAGAAAGACGACAAGAAGAACAGTGTTTCTTGAGGCGAGGAATAGTCAGAATCAACAGCGGTAGGGTTTGCAAGCTAAATGACGATTTTAGATGATAAACCTTAGATGAGGGGAATTGAAATGAATTTGAAGCTATAGCTTCATGTAGTGTGAAGAGAAGACGCATTCGAACAATAAATGAATGGATGGACGGATGGATGGATGGATAGATGGCATGTATGTGTGTATGTGTATGTGTATGTGTATGTGTATGTGTATGTGTATGTGTATGTGTATGTGTATGTGTATGTGTATGTGTATGTGTATGTGTATGTGTATGTGTATGTGTATGTGTATGTGTATGGATGACTGAATGAATGAGGTTGAAGGCTCCTCGAAACCTTTCCTTTCTCTTTTGCTGTCGAACACTCGAAATACTTGGAATTGTTTCGATTCCCTTTTGGTGAACGTTAAGATATTTCTCTTCTTCTCCTCTTTTACTCTTTTCTCTCTTTACAAGTGGGCAAGAATGGATATTATTGATCACGATAGATTTTCCCGATTAACATCCGTATGCTGAATTTTAAAGCCCCTCCCCCCTCCCTTTGAGAAACGGATAGAAAAATAGAAAGAAAAAAAACCCTGGAGGGAAAGTTCCATAGGGTGAGTTTAGCGGCTACCTTGATGTTTCGATCAATCTAGACCCTTTGGAGTGATATATTAGGTGATCAACTTACAGAACCGAGAGAATTTGACTGTGCCACAGCGGCATAAAAATTGGTCTGTCAGATGTGAAAGGAATTTTAAAGACCGAGAGGACCGAGTAAGTTAACAGATAAATACAGATAAATACCATCATTAGATGCATAGTAACTACTTGTTATATGATTCAAAACTATGTTATTTTCACAGATATAAGAAGAGAAGGCGTTAGATAGTAGCATCAAAGCGAGGGTCCTACTCGAGTATATACCTACTAACAAATTGACCAGGAACCGAAGCAACCCCTTCATCAGTAACAAAACGATGAAACCCCATCCAATACCAACTCCAGAGCCTACAGAGCATGGAAAATTCTACATTGGCTACTCTATCTAGTGTGTCTAGTACAAGGAACATGCTAGAATTCATATATGGCCGATATGGACCGAGGCTTTTTCCAAGAGAAAGCAAAATCTATCAATGTGATAGATATTCGTGCTCAACGCGAGGACAACACGTTGTTCCCTTAATTTGATATGCAACGCCACAGTAATACGATCCAATTCAGTATCCAAACTTCAATCAGCACCTGCAATGGATGATCTGAACTGCCGGCGCTGGAGCGGCGTAGCCCTAAGACGCTAATTACAGATTGAGTACCTACACAAGGGCCAAAAAGTATTCTCTGATTTGGTTTTGTCTATTTTCGATTGTAGTTTTTGATCTTTCACCATCACTCTCTTTCAATTACTGTACCACATGTTTAGCATGTGATCCAATGCCCTCTCATTCCTCTACTCATCCTGTATCCAAACCATAAGACGCTATTGAATAAGAATCAGGTCATAATTGCATTTTTGGCTTCAAAATTAGCGTAACGGTCTATTCAACGCTCTTCAGGCACATGGATGCACCTCGCACTGAGCACTATTTATGAGGCTGGCAGGTGTCGCCCAAGCTACCTAGCACCCAGCTAAATATCTAGGTATGTGCAGGAGAAAAAAGCTAGGGGTGTTGAGCTGCACTGCAATGTCTATCTATTAGTCCACTAGTCTTTGATGGGCCCATGGGGTCTCGTATTAAGAAGAATTGGCTATAAAGATACCTAGACATCAAGAGGATCAGAATGCTAGAATGGTTTTCTTTCCCAATTCGAATTACAGTACTCGTACTGTATTCCTATTCCTGTATTCCTAGTATTCCTAGCATGGGGAGTTCCTATTAGAATATAATATTCGCGGTTCGGTTTTTCCTTCCCAGTGCTTTTCTCCAGATTGCATAAGGAGTGCAAACGGACGTGTGGTCCCATACATGCCGATCCATGACTTGGCATTCCTTATCGATGAAGGGATTTCTTATCAGTTCATCAGCGCTTGGTTGTGTTTCCTCTCGTTGGTGGGTGTACGGATTGAGGGGTAGCTAAAGAAAAAGAGCGTTGAGTTAGAAGGTGCTGTGCATCAGAAAAAACTTCATCGTGATTCCGGTTAATATCAATACATCAAGCCACGCTAGTATCTTAAAATATGAAATCCATTTTAGACGATGAAGGATTAGGTACTTAAATAGTCTATGATTGGTTTTGATAATCACTTTGACGGAATACTTGAATCTCGAAATATGATTGGAGAGTACCATTTCATGAAGATAGCTTCATCAGGTGACGACATACTCACGAGCAACTCCCTATGCTACTTGTTAACTTTACAACCCATAGTTGGGGCAAGTTGTTTGAAAAGGTTGTATTGGGTTCAATTTTTTCAACATAAATGAGTCAAGTCAATGAGTTATTGGAGACAGAACCCATGTCCTGAGCAATCTTCAGTTCAACTCGTTGATGCTTTTTAGGCAACCATAACCTATGCATGTGTGACAACGGCACAGCATGAGTCGTCTATGATATAAGTCCACCGAAATGGGCGTTCTACTCTTTTATCCTTCTCTGACACCCTCTCTTCCACCTTCTTTCACACACTTCATTACGCAGCACTGATATGGGAATTTATCTCTCAAGAATACTAACAACGAACATCAAAACCTCAGCCCAATAGACCATAGTTCAACTATGGATAACCAGACCAGGAATAACCACTTTACCTTCGACTTTACCACTCCTGCCAGTGATCTAGCCTCGCAACTCCCCACTCCACCTCCAAGAAACATCCATCTCAAACCCACTACTCCCCGCCTCCAACTTCTCTCTCCATTCTATTCCGGCGTCATCCCAGCCGAAATACGCTCCCTGATTTTCTCCTACGTTCTCACTCCCACTCCAATCCCAAACACAGACTACGACCCCAACACCAATTACGCACGCCCAGGCTTCACATGCCGCACAAAACTGCACCTCTCCCTCCTCCGAACATGTCGACGCATCTACCTCGAAACCTACCACCTCCCCTCGACATCCATCCCCCACGTATTCTGGCACGCGCGACATCCCCCCTCCGCTAAGCCTCCCCGCAGCGAACACTCCTATTTCCCCCGGCTCCCAGACTACCAGCTCGCGCTCCTCAGATCCATCCATCTCCACACCCAACTCTACTGGCTCCAAGATTTCCTCCGTCCCCTCACTTCCGCACACTATCTCCAAAACATCACCCATCTCAAACTCACCATCCGAAGAGGCGACTGGTGGTGGAATGAGCGAAACGAAGCTCTAGCCATCAATCCCTACCGCGGCAATGCCGATCTCGCCAGCATGCGCGGAGACATGGAGCGCTCGCGCCGCGGCGAGGCGCCCGCCTGGCAAGCTGGGAAATGGGGCGCGTCGCTTGCGGGATTCCCGCAGCTCGAGGTGCTAGAGATGGAGTTTGAGACGAGCGAGGAGAAGAGAGAGGAGTTGAAAATGATTGTGGAGTGGGCCCGGACGTGGGAATTTCCGATGGGAAAAAGAGGTGTCTTGAGTACGCGTAAATATACAAATGCGCGTGCGGGGGATGAAGCTGCAAAGGGTGAGTTGGGGGATGTGAAGATGTGAGAGTGGAGAGGTAAGGTGGTGCATTGGAGTGAAGTCTGTCCCTATTGTGTGGGCAATGCTTGTCAGCGGACGGAACCTGCGAAAGGGAAGAATGGGGATAAGTGTCGGGAAAGAAAAGATTTGATGGAGAGGGGAGAAGGTCCTATGTTGGTTGTTATGGAGTTGAAATGGAAATTAAGAGGTCATCCAGTGGGTGAAGAGAGCAATGGATTGGTTGAAGAAGAGGACGATGACCAAATGGTGGATTTGGATGAGAGTAGTGATGATGACGACGAGATGGACTGGGGAGAGGAGGATGAGGATTAAATGAAGAATGCCAGGATCGTGATGAAGGTTGGAATGGGCCTTCATACAAACCTATCAGTGCACAAGGAACTCTTTTAAAATAAAAGTTCCTTGAACTAACGGCATTATAGGCGTCTGTAAGGAAGAAGCGCTTGTGAGATGATCACAATACTACATCAAGGACAAATGTGAGCGAAGAGTATAACAAGTACCTGGTTGAGTCTTTGGAGTATCTCAGTACATCCATAGCAAGCCAATATATCAAATTTGATTGAAACTTATATTCCTAGTCACAGACGCAAATCGCATTATTTAAAAACAGCAACCACCCCCTTCATCACCACTAACATCCACTCCCCAGCATTCCCTCCACTCCATCCTTCGCAACCATACTACACGTCCCCGTCGCATTCGCCGCCGTCACATTCTGCGCATAGGCGACCATGAAATCCTCAAACTCAATTCCATAGCACGGATACACCTTACTACAACTAACACTCGCCGTTCTGTTTCCTTTCGCACCAGTCAAATATCCCGTGAAATTGCGGAACGTGATGTCGGAGATGAGAAACTTGGAAGTGCCGGCGTAGGAACCGTTGTTTCCAGAATCCTGGGAGATGCCGGCTGCGATGGCGGCGCCTTCGATGTGGAAGTTTTCGAAGAGGAGAGAGCTTACGTTACCCCTGGATTTGGGTGTTAGTTTAGGGGGAAGAGATGAGGGGAGGGGAGGAAACATACCAGCCGCCGCCTCGGGGGAGACCTGCACTTTCGTATCCGCTTTGTGGAGCTTGGAAACCTATCCATGTTTTGATGTATGCGGTGTTGTGCATGTCAAGATTGTAGGAGATGATATTAACGTCTTTTACAGTAACGTTTACGACGGACGAGTCTTCGACGTATTGACCGAGAGAACCAATTGCGATTCCGTTGCCGCCGTGGCATGTGACCTATTTGTTCAGATCAGTTATGTGGTTATGAGTTAGATTGTAGAGGTAGAAGTGGGATCAGAGGATATGAATCGAATCAATCGATGAAGAGAGGGGTAGGTACATTTTGAACCCAAATATTATAAGATCTTGGTTTAATGGCAATACAATCGTCGCCTCCCTGATACCAGAAATTGGTTAATTTGACGTTGTTCGCATCCATAGTATCAAAGCCATCGGTATTCTGGACCCAGTTCGTTCCATATGGTACTTTTAAGGCGGTCGAGTTGGCGAGCATATCGTTAAACCACATATTAGTACCGTTCATGATGTTGATTGCCCAGAGAGGAGAATCCTTTATCGAAACTTAATTTCCGGAAAGTGTTGTTAGCTTGATGATCATGTATCGGAAGAGCAGAAGAGAATAAAGGTGACATACAATGTTCGACGAACACCTCACTAACATTCCAGAAGACAAAAGGCATAGGTCGTCCTGGCTGCGTAACTGCTTTCTCGGCATTGTACCAAGCATTTCCATTACCATTGATACCACCAGTACTTTTTCCATTAATATGAATACGATCTCCTGTAAAGACAACACCAGCAGCGTGATTTTGGAATGCGACGGGATAGGAATTATTTCGCCAATATGTGAGATTATCCGACAACTGTCCGATCGTTAGCACACCTCTCGTGAGTGGAAGATAGCCCAAACATACAGTCCAAATTCCTTGCCAATCAATCGTTACATCGTAAATTATTGGGTTTAATCTTGTCGCGATCCAATACTCTTTGTTTTTGGGAAATACGACGGTTCCGCCATGATTACAATCTGTAAATGCCTTGAGGATTTGAGGAGTATCGTCTGTATGGTTTCCGAGGGGATGAACCGTGCAAGTCTTATGATTGCTACGGGGAGGAGCGGGAACAACATCAGAGCCACGATGTCCTTTCGCAGCTATGAGGGAGGAGAAAAGTGCTATTGTTGAAGCAATTATGAGACGCATCTTGGGCGAGAGAATGAGCCGAGCAATGATATGGAATCTCACAATTTGAGAGCTTCAATGTGTATACAATATTTTAGAATTGAAAACGGAGAAAAACCATCAAAAAAAAGATTTCCAAGAGTAGAAAGACAGGCAAAAGTATACAGATGAAGACATTTTAAGAATATATACAAACATTTTCCGCATACTGAATGACGGTGTGTTGCATTAATCCGTGAGATCCATCCCTCTCCTAAGGAAAGCAATATAAACAAGCTCCTCAATTGGAGGCAAAATTCTTTTCAGGAACCTTAACTCATTCATCAGATTGCCACATCGAGAAGCTTTCCCCATGTTTTCCAGCTTGGAAGAGGGGTCCTGATGGTGATCGTCATCTGGGGTAAAAGAAATGTTCTTGCGGATTCGGGCAATGATGCACCGAATGTGGGGTTTCTTGTCTCTGGGTGATTCAAAGTCAATTTGGTCAATGATCACCGCTCATTTGTAATGTGATATCTGAAGTATGAGATATTGAAGCTATTCCCAAACATGAGAAGATAGTTTTGGCTTGAAAGTCGTATCTTGTTGATTTATAGTTGGGTAGGTAGGTCGGTAGGTAGATGATGGTACTAATATTAGTGCCAGAGGTGGTTTTGGTGGGATGTAATCACCCCACCATAAGCTTTGAATTGTTCAATTGAAGCTTCAATCAATGCGTCATCCATCAACTTTCACAACGAACTAAGAGCCAACTGCCAAAATCTCGCCACTTGTTGTGTCCATAAAGCTACGATATATATTTATCTAGTATCCATCTCAACCGTCAACGACTCGAAATCAATCTTTCAAAATAGCTTCCAAAGCCTCTGCCCGACTTTTGCGTCTCGCTCGCACAATGTCTACATCAACCACCACTCCAGCATCCATCGGTCAAGCTCCATGGCGTCCTCTTTTCCTTTCCCATCTCTCCAAGATGGATTCCCCGGAATTTGTTCTCTCATCATTACAGCCAAGCAATGACAAGGACTCTCCTACTCCTTATCTTCCTCGAGCTCGTTACTGCATCTACAGAGGAATGTGGGCCGAGCTTCCAGAGAACAAACACAACGATGCTCCTATGAATGATCGAGTTTACGAGAGTGATCTTCCAACTTTTACCACAGATGTGCGTATGGAGAAGGTCCCCCAATTTTTTGCTAGTTCACAGGGTCATGGAGAGGTAGAACAGAGTCAGGGTAGTGGTGGTGGTGGACCTGTCGAAGCAGTTTTCTGGATCAAAGAAGTCATGACTCAATGGAGAGTGAAGGGAGAGGCTTATATCGTAGGTCAAGACATTGAAGGGAGTGGTCAAGAATCAAGTGGAACACGAACTGTAAAGACAAAGATTGGAGAGAGAATGAGAGTTGTGAAGGAAGATGGAAAAGAAGGTTGGAGTTGGGGAAAAGAACTTACTGCACACTTTGGCAACATCAGCCCGGGAATGAGAGGTAAAGAAAATGTAGACATTAGATGAACACTGTGACTAACTTTCAATCTATAGGCTCTTTCAAAAATCCTATACCTGGAACACCCGTTTCGCAGCCACCAAGCGATCCAAATTGGAAATTGGGTCAAAAAGTCACTGATTTGAATGATGAAGCTTCCAGAAAGAATTTCAGGGTTGTGATTATCAAACCTGTGGAGATCGAACAACTTGATTTGAGTGAACCTGATAAAGCAAGGAGATGGAGATTTACTTACGTCGGCCCCGATGGAGATGCTGGAAAGGGAGAAGAGATTATTGGGGAATGGAAGAAGGAAGAGCTTTGGCCATAAATTATCAAGTAGAGCTCCGACTCGACAAAATGGCAATGCGGCAGATGCAAAGCTGTAATAAAAATTTCAATTCAAGCCTTCCTTTTTTCTTCCTCCTTCCTTAAAACTCCATGGAGATCATAATTATCTAAACCTTGGCTTCCTGCGGTTGGTGGTTGGTGGTTGGGTACGAAACACAATACCTCGCAAAACAGCGGTAAGTTTGCCGCACACAACTTGAATGCTCGTAAGCTTTCACATCAACCAGGATTTTCGTACTGCCTAACTAATTCCAGTTCATTTAAGTATCATTTCCCACCATTTCCACCCATGTATCAAACACTTGAGTGGCTTTCTCATAATCCATGCATCAAAAAAAGCGATGGCGGCCGTTTTCTGCATAAAGCACGTGTGACAAGGAACGGGAAGAGTCAGACTAGGTAAAAATCTCTCGTCTTCCCCTGCTGGCCCTGTCCTGGTCAATAGACTAAAAAAAAACTAAAAACCAAAAGCCACGAGACACGATGGTGACATTAATGCTTCTAGTCTAATTCTCGAAATGCCTCACCGTCTGAAAATGAACCGGATCGGGTAGAATTGATTCCCCGGGAGGGGTAGAGGAGATGATAGGAAGCCCTATATTGGCAGAGCTTTTTACTCCGTGTATTCTGTAGTCTCTAATGGAGAAAACTTTTTGAATGCATTAGAGTGAGATGGACTCATTTCTCGACACAGGGTAGCTAGCTATCATGTAGTGGGATTCATTATTCAGGTAGATCAACATAACACTGTATTGCGGCTAAAGGAACATACATTCTCACATCCCTAGGTGATTATGTTGTTAAAAGAGTATAGTCTCGTATAAAAGCCCGAATAGTAGCTAGGTATTCTCCCGCTTTCAAAAGAAGTTTGGTGATTTATTCTCCGCGTGAGATCTAACGAGGGGTTGTTTACTAGATAGGAATTTTGCAACGTATTAATGACGAGGGGGGTATAAACAGAAAGACAGGAAGTGTACGAACACAAAGTAGGTAGGAATACGATGACAACAAAGTTCCGAGGTAAATAACAAAAGCAACAATTTTTCAAACTATAGATGCAGTAAAAGACGAAGAGGGAAATGGAGGCTGGGAAGGGTTTGGTCAGGGTCGAAGACCTATCAGAGAGATTTGACATGATATTTGAACATCTATTTCTCGAATAGGGAACTCTTCTCGTCCACATTAACACGGCAGGATTGTTTGGATAACACGATTAACAGTTGCTCTGAAAAAAAAAAAAAAAAAAAAAAAAGGTTGGTTGCAAGGACTGAATACCTATCAGAAGAAACAGATTATCAATCCTCGAAAGGCAAGTAAGTTCCTATACCATAAGAAAACTATCTTCTTCATCCACACTGGCACCGCAGCAGAACCCATAACAAACGATATCAGTTCGTCTGCACTTTCCCGAGGTATAAGTTACATACACAGTAATCTGGATCTATCGGGTTGTTGTCAAGGTACCGACAGCTTGGTTGGAATGAAAAAGTGATACGATTTTGAAGGAAATAACCACTCGGTGAACTTCTTTTGCTCTGTTGCGTTGTATCATTACGTGTTCTGTGACATTCTTTGATTTCCCATTTTCGTATTCCCCATACGAAATACATGAAACTTGATGTGCGTTCTGAAGACTGATCACGATTCACAATGAAGCTTCAGGGAAGATATTGTCTTGTAAGAGCTCTAACGGCTCGTGCCGTGTGTTTCCTCCAATTATAATTTCTCATGCTGTTTCTTATTCTTCTTTTTGCAGGAAGTACCCTCGTACCTCCGTTGTGTTTCAATATTGTTTGCTAATTAAGTATAGAAAATGGAAATGAATTGGATGATTCGCTTATTGATTTCTGACACTGACAATGAACTTGAATAATGAAGGGGTCCACAGTCCACAGTCCACGCCATTTCGTTGAAGACGGCTTATCACTTCCTCTGCCCTTGATTCCATTCATCTACACCCTACCATACATTTCATACCACACCCACCAACCACACTTATACATACTCTCCAGGTCGGTCTGCATCGATGTAAGAAAAAAAAGTAAAATTGATTGAACAAAACAAAACATCACACAACACCTTCTCACTATCCTATGTAAGGTTACAAGTAAGTTGAACTATAGTTTCATGCAATAATATTCTTATAGATATAGGTCGGTATCCGCATCCTCTTATAATCGCCTGTTCAAACTTGCATGCAAGTAGTATGAGCAGTTAGTCCGATATACATATTGGATACTCCGTATCTATATCCTTCATTTACAGATCACGCTCCTGGTTAATAAAGTCCTTCGGGTCTTGTAATTGAAGCAAAGAGATCAGAATCACTCTACTTCATCTCCTCTCCTATACTCCGCGCAAAGAGTCGCACGCATTGTCCAGCTGTTTATTTACTTATTCCCCATAATGACGCAGTGATGATGGTACTAGTATGATGTCCATTGACTTCCTGAACTACTGACCTCGAAGCTTTCAATCCTCGAATCAGACAAAATATATTCTCTACCACAACCAATACACTCCAAATAATACTATCCACACTCAAAACGCTTTTACCATATCATTTTTAACTTACATTGATCTAAATTCATCATGACGACATTTTCGACATTGGATGCGTTGACGAGTCTAACCCAATCCATACCGGATTGGAACAAACGACTAGACGACTTAAACGGCCAAATAGCTTTACGACAAATCGAGCTTGCCCGCTTGACAGATCACAAACCTGCACGCTCCGTGAAAAACAAAGGTTCCACCGAGTCACTACGACCCAAAGATGGCGAAGAAGGCATCACCGAATCCGAAAAGCCCAAGCAAGCCCCCTCATCTCCCATCGGCTCCCCCAAATCCGCACAAAATGGTTTCTCCTCCGAAGCCCGCCCCAATTCCCCATCCGTAGCTCGAGCTGCTGCTGCCGCCGCCCTCGAATACAATCAGTCCCCCTCTGAAGCAGCCCCCCAATCGCCCGAGCCCCTTACTCCGCGAGCATCTCCCAACGCTCTAACTCGGCAATCCTCGCAACCTACACCTCCCACGGAACCCCTCCCACGAGCCCCCGCCGTCCTTCGAAAACGCAAAACGGAATCCCTCGCATCGGGAAACTCCCACGCCCCAAAATACAGAACCAGATCCATGATCATAGTATACTACGACAGCGCGGTCCAGACGGCTTTTGAAGAACTCGTCAAATTTGTGAGCGGCAATCGGAACGCCATGCGAAAGGGGAAAATGGCCGCCAAAATGGCCGAAATGAGACGAGCTGCCGAAATGGAAGCCGAAGAAGAAGAAAGCGATAACGAATCCGAATCCGAAGCGTCAAAAGTATTGGGCAGTGCGTTGCTCAAGCCTTCGTTGCAACCTCACGCGGGCGCGGACTCCACTTCCAATGGCGCAAATGGAGATGCGCGCGCGGGAGCCAAACTCAAATTCCCATCTTCGCGAAAGATGAGTTCGACGCGCGACCGCAAGAATATTGGAAATACGATGAATGTGTTACGAGGGTATCGTCGAGCCGGTGGGGGAATCGAGGGAGCGGGAGGAAACTCCCCAGATATTTTTGATGAATTGGATAAGGGACTTGAATGGTGTCAGGGACAGTGCGAACACGCTGCTCACCAATTCCTGCGCGATGGAGAGTGCAGTACGGAGATTGAGAATATTAAAAGGAGGTTGGGAGAAGTGAAGGAGATTGCGGAGAGGAAGATTGAGAGGTTGAGAGCCGAGGAGGCGTTGCTGCAAGTGGAAGTGGAAAAGAAGAATGAAAATGATGGTTCGAAAGAGCATCCAGATGGCAATGGATCGAAATCTCTTCCAGCCATAACTCCTGTCTCGAATGGACCGGTGGAGTTGGAGGTGGATGATGCGATGGAAGTAGACGATGACGATGACGATGATGATAATGACGGGTTTGATCCGAGGAAATTGATCTTTAAGCGATCCGGGGACAGGATATAGGATGTCCTGAACACACGGACTTGCATGTTGAATTTCTCTCGAAACAATTGGAGTTGTAATTTTGGAAACCCACGCTTTGGAGTGAGAACTTCTGGATTGAGAATCGGGGGGCTTGGCGTAAAGATTGCTTTTCTTTACCGATCGCATGGAATATATGGCGTGAAAAAGTATGGAGATAGGATTGCAAAAGTTGGGCATTTTCAATGGTGTGTACCTTTGTAGTATGGATAGTCTAGATCTGAGGCTTGGGATATATATATGTATAGTCTAGTGAGTTGGATGGATAGACCTGGTGAATATGTGAACGGCTATAGTCATTCTTTTGGATTGGCATTGGGATCATGGATGGAAGAGTCATTGAGCTTTTGCAGAAATAAGAAGGGCGTTGAATATATCTAATATATCTAATATATCTAATATATCTAATATATCTAATATATCAATCTCATTAATCATATTATATCACGTTTCACTTCATCTTTTGGAATAATTGGTTCTTGTCCAGTAGGTTCTTGTGCAATAGAGCAGGGCAATGCTCATTCATCTATTCTTATACGTGTATACCATTCGTGGTATCATACACGAGGTCTGTTGGTAGCTACGTGATTTGTTATCTCTTAACTTCCATACACCCTAATGTTCTCCTCTCAATTGTGCAATTTATCGTTTGGGTTGCTTGTACACTTTATCTAATGATAGCTCCAGCCAAAGACTTGACCTTGCAAACACCACCACTCACAGTAACCAATTTTCCAACGCTAGTCTTGGCATCCTCTCCTTCCTTACTCAACTCCTTTACAACACCCGCGTCAAAAGCAGCTTCTAAATCTGCAGTTGTGGTGAAACCAGGTTGGATCATCTCCCAAACCTTCTTCTTTGGGTTCAAAACACCCTCGGGTTCTCCCTGCCATCCCTCGAAGAAAACTCGCTCACCAGCCTTTGCTTCAGCTGGAGGAGTAACGAGTTCGACTGGGCCGGCGTGGTGATCTTCTTCTCCTTCCTTGAGTCTGGGAGAGGCGGCTAAGACCATGGCGCATGATTTAATACCACGCATCTTGACGGGTTTGAGATTGCACACAACTACTACCTTGCGACCTTGCATTTCCTCGAGAGGAACGAGACCATTAAGACCAGAGCAGACAGTTCGCACAACTTGTCCTTCGTATTCAGATGTATCATCGGTTCCGGGCTTGTCACCCATAGCAATGGTGGAGACAAATAGAGAGTCGGCCTCGGGATGCTTGATCGCTTTGAGGATGTGTCCAACACGGAGATCGATCAAACATGGAGAAAGAGGGGCAGATGGAGCAGGAGCCTTTTGAGGTTTGGGAGCCTTCTCTTTCTTCTCCTTCTTTTGTCTGGGAAATTGTGGTTGTTCGCCAGTGACAGCAGCAACAATTGTATCTTTTGCCTCTGCAACCTTCTCGGCGACTTGAGCTACAACTCCCTTGTCGCTCTTTTCCTTGGTTCGATCTGCCAACTCCTTTTGTTCACCTCCTGCGGCGGCAGCAGCAGCGGCAGCTTTCTCCTTCTTCAATCGCTCCTTCTCGGCCTTGGCATCAACAGGAGGCTTAACATATAAGATCTCCTCAGCATCAACCTTAACTTTCTTCTCTTCCTCAATGTTTAGTCCAAAAATCGGCGAATTCTGCACAAAATCCACATGGCGCACAATATTAGGATGGCCCTTCTCACCCGTTCGTTCCTCGCTGCTCCATTTTGCGACCTGCGGTGCCAAACTCTCGTAGATAGCGATATCGGCAGACGAAGGCTTGGAGCCGAGCAGAGTGGTGCGAGATGCTAAATGAGTGTTGAGAGAATCGAGGAGAGAGGGGGTTTCGGAGCTGGAGGTCTTGAGGCGCTCAGAAGTGAGCGTCCATTGCTTGAGCTCGGTTTCCTCGGCGGGTGTGTATTTGATGGAGGAGAAGCTGGCCATGGTTCTGAAGAATTGGGTGTTTGCCCTGCTGATGGCGCGGGTGATGAGGCGTGGAGAATACAGTTTGGAAATTGGTTTGGAGGGGTTGAGAGAGTGGTTTGTTGCGGTTGTTTTTTGAGTCATTCGTCAAGGGAAATTTCTATTTTACCCCACCATTCTTTATCGTCTTACGATAGGAGGATAGGTACCCACCCCTACCTCGACGTATTTATTGGATAGGCTCGATGGGATAGAGATACATCAAAATTATATACTCTTTTCAATAATCAATATCAATTCAAACAATCATCATTTCGATTCAAAAATTGAGTCAATATATTAAGAAGTCTTGCTTCTCATTACTCACCTCTTTGATTTTCTAATATCCGAGCGGATATCGATATCTACATCTCCTATCAAACTATCAGATTCTTCAGCAACTTATTTTTTCTCAATCAAGTGATTGAGCAACCAAGGTGTTTTCGTCTCTCAACTCAACACCGTGAAACATATCACATATCACATATCACATATCACATATCTCTAAACTTCTTTATATATTAAATTCAACTCCCAAACGTATCTTGAATTAACTTATCAAGTAAGGAAGCTCACAGATTCGAAAAGTGATGCTGTTCAGCCTCATAACACAGTCTATCAAATAAAGCAATTGATTCCTTTTCTTCATTCCATACTTACCATTCATTATCAGACCTTCTCATAATCTCAAGATTTAAAGCACACAGGGCATATCCATCTATTGAAATTTCTCTCTCTCTCTCTCTCTCTCTCTCTCTCTCTCTCTCCACCATATAACCTACCATAATATCACAAAAATCCATATCTAAACTCCTCATTACTCTACTCACATAACACACAACACACAACCCGAACAACAAACCCACAAATCGATTATAGAAACCACCCTCGATATCCCCTCCCTTGTATACATACCTCATACCCAGTACCTCAAATCAAACCTCCCCTCCACCAAACATCACCATTCTTTCTACGAAATATAAGATCTTACATACATACATGCATACACATATCCCCTCATCTCACCCGTTTCCCGAAAATCAGAAGATCCGCATCGCATCTTGAATACCTAGCTACCTACCTACCACAAATCTTCAAGCAAACCATCGGAGAAGATGAATGTCTAGTCCCCTCACACATACATACACATACACACACAACAACCTACAATACCCCCCCTCGCTCTCAACCAACGCACTACATACATACTTCCTTCCAAATAGGAAAACTCTGCTCACACAGCGTATAGCTAGCTGTATAACTAGCTATATAACTAGCTGTATACCTAGCTGTATACCTAGTATATATATTGATTTATCAAGAATTCAATTGCTTATTTCATCCTACGATGATGGATCACCATTGACATACTATAGAAGTGGAAGATTGAAGTATGGATGTATATGCTTTATATATGCTTTATATAATATGTATATGTATATATATATATATATATACTAGTCTTGTTAATATCGTACTTGCGGTATTCATATCTTTTTAATTTTCTATGAGATTGGATTTATGAATTGTTACGAGACTTGAGATGATTGTTGATCTATCATTGGACCTTTGAATGTTGTTTGATATCCGTCAGAAGAGTTGTATTACGATCCGAGGTTAGATTAATTTGCTATGGGCTTGATAGAGCATGTGAATAGATCATGTCGATAGATCATGTGGATAAATAGAGAGATGAGCAGGCATAGATAGGTAGGTACATTTTTGATTCTAAAAACTACGTAATAAGTGTTAGATATTTCAATTGCAACCTCCCCGCGAGAAGAAGCAAGAGACATGCACTCCCTCATCTCAATATCCATCCCCAATCCATCTACACACGCAACGTTCCATACAATCCACCATCCTCCAATCTCGCACCATCCATTTCCCCCTTAACACCCAACAATTTCACATTCCCCCATTTCGCCAGGAAAGATTTAATCTGATCCATCGTCTCCTGATCATCCCTAACCAGGAGCACAATCGCATCATAGCCTCCGGCACCAGGAACCACACCCCCAATCACCCCCTCCACATTCTCAATGACGTCATCTAGCAATTTCGTTTGCTCTTCAGGTTCAATCGGAACTCCTGAAAGGTTACCCATCTCTCTAATTTTTTCTCGAATAGCCGAGAAAGCTGGGCCAGCTGCACTAATATCATTTCCGGAAGAGAGGACCTCTGCCAATTTCTCGTTTCGCGATTGCAATTCATCCCATAATTCTTTCGAGACCACGGGATCACGTTTTCGCCATTCGAGAACCTTTTTTACCATTCCGACGGTTTGGGATCCACAATCTACGTCGCACATGACGAGAGCCATACCTTTGGGGATGGTGATTTTGCCCTTTTCGATTTGGGTGTCCCATTTTTGAGGGGCGGTGTCTTCAACTGACGCTTTAACGCGAGTGGAGAAACCTGGGGAGCCTGGTTCACCCAGAGAAGAAAGGATGGAGGGGGAGAAGCGACGGTAGAGAGAGGTGCCGTAGACAGCTGTTGCAATGTCAAAACCTGAGCCGACTTTTCCTTGGGCTGCACAATGGGCTGCTTGGGCTAGGTTGTGAAGTTGAGATTGGCCTTCTTTAGTATTGAGAGAGAATTTTGAGGAGGGAAGATAATGGGAGAGAATTGCACCGGTGAAAGCAGTCACTAAGGCTGCAGAAGAGCCGAGACCGGTCTTATGGGCATCCTCGAGACGGACGCCAAAGTCGAGAAATTGATGGTGTGCATCTGAGGCAATGGCTTTGGTAGAGGGGTTGGAGTAGTAGTCTTTGTCGGCCAGGATTGTGATGGAGGTTGGTTTGATGGTAGTGGATGGAAGAACGGAGGATATGTAAGTTAGTGCGTAGAGTAATGCTGTTTCTACGAATGGATTTCGAGAAACTGATGCTGATGGAGAGCTAGAAAGATGATGAAATGAGTCAAGGTGATGGTCAAGAAGGGAAGAAATATATGCTACCTTTTTAATTGGGTAACTTCAATGCCCCCATCATCCTTAATCAAGTGAAATCCATAATTCCAAGCTGCTTCCCGAAATTGAGGACTCTTTACAATGATATCGGAGAGCTGAACACCAGAGGTAGTCTCGATGTCTTGAACCAACACGTGAATTCGGGCACTAAGACCAAATACCAAGGCGGTATAATCACGATCCAATACCAGATAACCTCCTGCTAAGAAGACCTTGCCCGGTGCCGATACGGCCGTTATACGATTAGTCATCCTGTTCTTTGATGATGATCGAGACTGGACTGGACTGGACTGAATGATTTGGTCAGCGAATGTGTAAGAACTAGGTCAGCCTGGATGCGAAAATATGAAAATTGCGGCGAATGTACAGTACAAGCTGGGATCAGACTCATCAGAGAGTCAAGGTGACAAGTTGACAAATGTCATTAGTGTGAGCTTTCGAGTGAGTCAATGGCCAACGGGATCAAATTCGGCAAAGTGTCCGAGAATGGGATTTGAAAAGGTTAAGGTTTTGGATGCCCCATATTAAAGGCTCCACTTTGATGACTCCACAATGCACATGAATAAAGAGGATCACGAAATTGCGAGTTTTTTTTCTTCTCTGCAGATTGGACTTGATAAGTCTTGACTTCACTGGGCTGAGAATCCTTCGATATCATTGGGTTTCCCGTGTGGGATTTGAGTTCTGAATAGCTTCTCTTTGGTTCCATGGGAATTTTATCCCAATTTGATGTCGTGGATTGATCGATCACCTACTTTGAATACGATACGCATATCAATCATGTCAACATACTTTGGAGTGCGTTATCGCCATGCAGACTACCGGTATATAGAGGTGAGAAGCGTTATCGTAGCATGAGATGAGCCACCACCAGAATCATATAGATACTGGGAAATGGCTTGTAATTGCTTGAGTCTCTTTCCATGATGAGATGATGCGTAAATGGAAGACGGGTATTTCATGTGAGGGAGTTTCCGCGTAATGCCTCACTCGAGTCTAGATGGTAAGATTACCTCGTAGAGTCGTAGTTGATGACAGATTGCTGGCTGTATTGACAATGTGGCATAACAGGAAGAAGGCAGATAGGTAGACCAAGTAATCATGTTGACGTACGAAGTACAATGTAACTGTGAGATTCCTCTTCTTCCGGTTCCGTCTTTCCTACATGAACAACCTTATCCCGCGGTCCCGAGTATTTCATTCACCTGTCGTCGTTCTTGGATCTTCGGACTATTCTATCTTCCGATCCCATAGAGCCGGTGAATTTGTGAGATTGCGAAATTGTGGTTGATCTCATGTACGAATTAGAGTACGAGTTGTTACTACTTATTACTAGGTACCTTTTTGGGATCTGTTAAATCCGTCTCCGTCCGCCCGTGAGAGAAACGGGGATACCATGACAGACACATGAACCAATCATATGCAAGCAGACCGCGTGGAGTAGCTCGAGTAGGTCAACGCTAGAATTAGACCCGCGTTCTTGGATTTAACTCTGACGCGCTTTACCCAAAAGGTCTTAATTCACTCACAGCCCCGCTAGGATAATACCGGGATTATACACGGGTTTTACGGCAATGGAGTCACATTTTATCGAATTTTTAACATTTTCTCTATTTTCTATGCCGAAAGATTCTCGTAGGGTTGGAAGGAGAATGCGAGAAGGAAGTGAGTGGAAGACTTTTGACGCGCGCACAAAATTCCATTTCAGCCCTACATTTCAAAAGGAAAAGGAAAAGGAAAAGGAAAGTTAAACAAATCAAATTCATTCCATTCGCTTGATTTTATCCCGTCTTGTATTCGTTGGAGTCTTTCGAGTCTTGGGATATACTCGTTCACCAAAAGAATACCTACCACCTGCACTACCTGGTATCTACGTCCAAGCATTCTCGCATTCAAACATCCTTCACCTGCATGTGAAGTTGATCATCCGAACCGAAGGCACCGACTACAATATCAAATCAATTCGTCATCTACTTCACCTGAAGGAGGCTTGCTTATCCTAGTGGGAAAAAAGTCATACTGACTATATTTTATCATCTTACATCCTTCAATTTCAATACCTCATACAACAAACAAACAACCTTAGGTTTTTTTTATCTTTCAGAAACGCCACCCTTCAAACTCATTCAGAAGAGAGTCGGAAATTCGGGACTTTCTTTGAATTCGAATATCAAAGTCACTTTCTTTACCCTACCCCAAATTCTCCCCTCCAAAACTCAAACAGCGCGTTTGTTTGACGGCAGAGCTGTCAAATGAACCTGCGATTGTTGAATTTTTGAGATTTTAAGTAAGCTTTTCCAGGACCCTTTCTCTCAATTTCAATCCATACAACACAAACTCTGAGTCATACTATAACTTCTTGCGCATGTGTGCGAAGAAAGTTCCAATACTGAAGTGGTAGGAAGCTGACATAAACTTCTTATAGTCTCCTCTCAACCAATCCTGAGAGGTCAAACCATCCCTAAATGCCCATCTACAACAGTCTATATTCGAATCTTGCACGACAAGGTTTTGCAAAATCAGTTACTCACGGTTACGCTCAATCAGTCGTCGCCGCAACTCACCCTCAAACTTTAGCAAACCAGAACCGATCTGGTCGAGGATTACAACGTCGAACTAGCAAGCTTGGCCACCTACCAACTTATACCTTTCAAAATGCTTTTCACACAAGCTCCAATTCCACTGGTACGACCCTCGTGCAGGATAGACCAGAAGGATTAGAGATATTATCAGATGCCTGGAAGGCAAATGAATTAGCAAAGGAGGAGAAGAAAGCTCAATTCCCAAAATGCATCGAATGGAAACCAGCTTCGATTCAGGTAGATGGAGAGGGAAAGAGCAATGTTGTTGCTAGTGATGCGACGAAAGATACCCCTAAGCAGGTTGAGAGGTCTTATAGCACTAGTGCGGTAGATGATATCAAGCAAGTTCATTTTGAGGCCGAGGAAGAAGCTGCCTTGGCAAAGATTGATGCGGCGATTGAGAAGGAAATTCAATCGAGAGAGAATCAAGCTGCATTTGAGGCCGAATTGAGTGTTGTTGCAGCACGTGTACCGACACCTCCTATTGCGCCAGTTCAGTCACCTGCTCTCACAGTCGAGACTAACTTCGAGAAATCGGAACGTTCGCGATCACCTGTTAGCTCTGCTACATCAGCCACCTCAGCTTCCGATCTTCAATCATTGAGCTATGCCGAACATCTCACCAAACTTGCGGAAGGCGGCAGACATGCTGAAATTCCCGCAGTATTTGAGGCTATGCTTGTCGGTGGTATCAAACCAACGGCAACTGCATACAACGCTCTTCTTGATGCCGCTATTCATCTACCTGCCGATCAGATCCAAGTCGTTCCAAAGGCACTTGACGTTTATTCTGATATGCTTAGACGAAAGGTCTCGCCAGATACTGCGACATACAACACACTTATCAAATTGATTGCTTCTCGATCCATTACTGTAACTTCATTGAAACAGACATTGGAAGAGAAGCGTGTTAGATTTGGGGGAATGGAAGAACCGGGCAAGTTTATGTTTGCCTCTAATGAATTGGAGTTTGCTATCCTTGCCGAAGATGACAGATTAGATCTTGCCGTTAGGTTGTTTGATGCATCAATCTCGTACCACACGGATCGTTCATTCCCAGCAGAGACTTATCATCAGCTCATTTCTGCCTGTGCTGATGCTGGTCGAGTCCCAGATATGGTACGATTGTATGAACATATGGAGACTAGCAAGGTTGTACCATTGGCTGCTACTTTCCCACACATGATCAAAGGGTTTACCAAATCAGGTGATTTAAGTAGTGCTGTCGAATGTTACAATGAGTACAAAGAGTTGGCCGTCGCAGATGATAGCGGCAAACTTCACTTGTCTGATCGTCAAGACGCACAGATCTACGCCTCTGTTGTCAAAGCTTACGTCACTTGCGATAAAATGGAAGGGGCCATGAAGTTTTACAACAGAATTGTCGAAGGATACGGAGAAGATGTTGAGGCCTTCAGAGATGTACTTATTGGTGAAGGTTTTGTCCAGGGTCTTCTTGAACGCAATATGTTGACTGATGCTCTTAGCTGGGCTGAAGGTCTTCAACCCACCACCAAGTCTACGGTAATGAGCACAATCTCAATGCATGCTGCCGACAAAGGAGAAAAATCTGTTGCTGTCGCTGCTTTCTCTCACGTCAATCCCGATCCGACTATTGCCAAGCCAACTATGGCATTGTTGGCTTTGAGTGTTCGCAGTGGTGATGTCGCTGCAGCTCAAAGATACTGGGGCATCCTCACTGCCGCGGAAATGCCTGTGTCATCCGCCTTCATTGAACCAACTGCCATGTTCGCTGTGGCTATGATTGGCTCCGGACAGGTTCTCGAGGGTCTCGCACAATCCGAACAAATGTTTTCAAGAATCAGAGAATCTGCTATCGATGTAAATTCTCACCTGGCTGATGAGATTGAAGAAGGTGTTGAGTTCATTGCCCGATTCATGAAGTCACATGGTATTGTCGATCCCCGCGACGCAGCAGTGGCCGAAGCTATGTATCAACAAAGCTTTCAACCTGCTGTATATGTTGCACCACCTACATTCGAGGATACTTTTGATCCATATGCCGCTTCTACCGATTTCAAAGGCTCAGCTCTTATCGCTGATGAACTCGAGCGAGGTGCTGGTCGTGGTAAAGCATCTAAGCTTAATGATGCCATGGGAAGATTCAGAAATATGCGTCGCGCTGGTCGTCATCCAAGATACATTACTTATGCTAAGCTAATTTCTGCTGCTGCTCGCGAGGAACGAATGCCTTTGGTCAATGATATTCTTGGTATGGCACGAGCTGATGTACCTTTACTTGTTCAATATCCTATCGTTCGATATGGTTGGGTTTCAATCCTCGACGCTATGGTTGGTGCTTGCCTGACTCTTGGAAACCGCAACCTTGCTGCCCAATACCATCAAGAACTTCTTGACATGGGTGCTGCACCAACAGCGAACACTTTCGGTCTTTACATCACCACTTTGAAGGAATCAACCAAGACTTTTGATGAAGCTTCAGAAGCTGTCAAGATCTTCCACCGTGCCAAGACTGAAGGTGTTGAACCTTCGTCCTTCTTGTATAATGCTCTCATTGGTAAACTCGGAAAGGCTCGTCGTATTGATGATTGTCTCTTTTACTTTGCCGAGATGCGTGCTCTTGGTATTCGCCCAACAAGTGTTACTTATGGTACAATCGTCAATGCTCTTTGCCGTGTTAGCGATGAAAAGTTTGCCGAGGAATTGTTCGAAGAGATGGAAGCTATGCCAAACTACAAGGCTAGACCCGCTCCGTACAACAGCTTGATGCAATTCTTCCTCACCACCAAGCGTGATAAGACAAAGGTCCTCGCGTACTACGAACGAATGAAGTCCAAGGGTATTCAACCAACCAATCACACTTACAAGTTACTTGTCGATACGCATGCTACTCTCGAACCTGTTGATATGACAGCCGCCGAAGCCATTCTCGACACCATTCGTAGCAATGGCGAGAAGCCAGAAGCTGTCCACTACTCTTCATTGATCCATGCCAAGGGTTGTGTTATGCATGATATGGAAGGTGCTCGAAAGGTTTTCGATTCCGTTATGACTGACTCCTCCATCCGTCCTCAAGCATGTCTCTACCAAGCCTTGTTTGAATCCATGGTTGCTAATCACAACGTCGCTGATACCGAACCCGTTCTCGCCGATATGTCTGCTAGAGGTGTCGCGATGACTCCATATATTGCCAATACTCTCATTCATGGTTGGGCTAATGAGCGCAACATTGAAAAGAGTAAATCGATTTTCGCAACTGTCGGAAGAGAAAAGCGAGAGCCAAGTACCTACGAAGCAATGACTAGAGCTTATCTTGCCGTTGAGGACAGAGAAAGCGCTAAGGATGTTGTTCAGGAAATGCTTAGCAGAGGATACCCAGGAGCTGTTTCTAACAAGATTCTGGAATTGCTTGGTGGTCATGTCGAAACTTCTTAAGTATCACTTGATCGCATTCGCTTAGTTTCGCTACTTTAGTCTGTTCTTTGATTTGAGTTCTTTTGACTCAAGTCTCTCGGTTGTTTCTATTTCGCGCTTCACAATCCCTCTTTTCTTTTGTTCAAATATGTTATGATACCCGTGCAATGGCACATCCAAATGATGATGGTGGATTATGGGTATCAAGGTCTTGATTAGCAGTCGAGCTTGCTTGCTTGTATACTTGCATTCTGCTTTAGCTGGCTGGTCAGACCAAGATTCTTCTTTTCCTTTGTTCGTTTTATTAGATAATAAAATATCCGAATTCTTTTGAGATTGTAGAGTTCTTACTTTTAGAACTCTACGATGTCGAGATCTGGATGTTGGCGTTTTTGAGGGCTTGGGGTGGAATTTAGTGTGTTTTTTTAGCTACTAGTAGTATGGCGTTTTGGAGGCGAGGCGAAGAAATGGAATGGAATATATCGATGCATGGTGTATAGGACACGGATATGCATGCATCAAAAGATAAATCTCAACTCTTTATACAGAAATCAGAAGGTGAATGGGGGAAAGGAAGCGAGCGAGTAGTTATGATGGTGGGGTTTTCCTTGGATGAAACCGGGAATTTACTTACCTACATAGCTGGCTTGGCTTGGCTTTTCGATGATGATGATGGATATATTACAGATACATATCAGATATATATGTAATAATAAAATCAGAAAGAGTATTAACATTTATTTTGTCGTTTGTTTGTTTGATTGGGAGTGATGGTGATGTGATTTTAATATGATGTAATGAGAGGGTGATTTTGACTTGGATTTTAATATTTAATCTGATATCTAGATAGCAAGGTAGAATGGAAATTCGATCTTGATTAAATAATAGATTCAATGTATGTGATTCTGATATATGATGTATTTTACTAGTATATTATATTATATCATAGCTTCCCTCAATTTTAGATATTTCTTTTAGATAAAGTGAAGTATATTTATTATTCCGGATATATAATATCTCCCTGATATCTGATATTTATTAATTAATACCTGTCTGGTATTTTGTTAATATCTATCTAGATAGTATATAATATTTAATATTTAATGTTTATTAGTGAGTAATGTTTAGTATATAATAGATAGTATATAATAGATAGTATATAATAGATAGTATATATAGATAGTATATAATAGATAGTACATAATAGATAGTATATAATATCTAATATTCAGTATCTAATATCCATCGTCTAATATCTTAATTAATACTTAATATCTCATTAACGTCTCATAATCGATCAATACCTAACCAATCAATCATCAGCTAATCAATTAAAAATAAACAAATCCCGCAAACGAATGTCCGGAAGAGAAGGATCTGGAAAATTTGATTTCTGTTTTGATAGTGATAGTGGGATTGGTATTGGTACTGGTATCGGTATTGGGTTGAGATGGTGAAGGGGTTGAGGGCTGGGTTGAGGGCTGGTTGAGAATAGAGTTTTGATGTGTTCGGGGTAGGCGGAAAATTTGATGGGAGTGAAGATTGAGGTTGTGAGGGTGTGAGGTGAAATGGAGGTTGTAGAAGAGGAAGAGGAAGAGGAAGAGGAAGAGGAAGAGGAAGAGGAAGAGGAAGAGGAAGATGGTGGAGATGTTGAGGAATGTTATGTTAGATTGAGATTAAGATTGAGGCATTATGTGAGAAAGGGGGAGTTTTTGGAATGAGAGATAGATGGAGAAATATATTGAGACTGAGATTGGGATTGAGATTAGGATTATAACTGTGATTGTGACTGAGATTGAGATAGCGAAGAAGAAAAAAAAGACGAAATGTCCAGTTCTTGATAAGGACCCGTAGGATGGGAAGGGTAGAGGAGGATATTGGGATTTGGATGTGGATGTGGTGGAGATGTCCATTTATTGGTGTTGGTATCCAAGAGATTTGAAGATGTTGTGTTATGGTGCGGATTTGGGATGGAGGAAGTATGTGATTGGGATGTTGTATTCGGAGACTCGGTTTCGGAATCGAGATCGAAATCGAGGGGTTCGTCCATGGCGATTGTGAATGTGTCGTTTGTGAAGTCGTTTTCGAGATTGGTGGGGAGGTTTTTGGGGGGTAGGGAAAGGATGGGAAGGGGGTTGAGGGGGTTGAGAGTTGGTTGCGGATTTGCGATGATGTGGGAGTGGGAGTGGGAGTGAGAGGTTTGGTAGTCGATTGGATGAGGTGGTGGGATTTTGGTTTCAGAAAATGAATTGTCGGGAAATTCAAATTCAAATTCTGAGTCTAGGTCCGAGCCTAGGGGTTCATCCATGGCGATGTGGAATGTGTTTGTATATTCTTCATCTATGGGGACAGATTGAGTTGAGGGGGGAAGAGGTATAGCGTTGTGTTTGGAGCTCGAGAGAAGATTTGTGGGAGAATTATGAGCTGACTGAGGTTTGTGACTAGTGTGTGATGGTGATCTAATCTTATAGACAGAATTTCCAGGGGATCTGAGAGGCTTGGATAAATTCAGCTTCATCTCTATGTTTGTATTATAGCCCCGCTGCCTTTCCTGATTGTCGAAAACTGTGGATGTCCTCAAAGGTTTTGAGACCTTCTCTATAGATTCAGCAAATGAATCGTCGTCTGAATCTTCATACAAAGAAATATTAAATGATATCTCTTCTTTCGTAACCGCGAATCGATCTTGAGGTGTCGGTGTTGGTGGAGGAGAAATCGAAACTCGAGGTTTTTTAATTCGTGTCCTGTCTTCGAGAACCATTCTATGTGGTGAAAAAGATCGTCTTCTGTTTTTAGAAATAGACTGTTCGAGTTCAGGTTCAGCATCAGGCGCTAGAAAATTCTCTGGTTCCATAGCATGCTTGACAACGCATGTTAATAATCCCTTCCCCTCTCCCATCGGTCCATTTCCCCATGGTATCTCATACCGTTTCCATCTTTTCGGGCGCCTTTTGTTTAAATCCTCAACACACTTATCCACCCACTCTTTTCCAAGAGACGTAACGGCGTACAATGAAAACCACACGTTACATATTAGTCCGGATTCCATATATGTGAGATTATACTCGTCAATGTTCGAATCTCCATTCCGGTCGAAGGAAGCTAGAGACTGTGTGAGAATGATTGGGACGATGTAGTCGAGATATTTATTGATTCCCCAGTCAAACTTTTCCAATAGAAAAGGCTGTAGTTTCTTCTCGTCAATTGTCCCACTCCATAGATTTTCCTCCAATCTTCCCAGTCTTTCAACGGAAGAAACACTGGGTGACTTATAGAGACCTAAAATTCTTTCATCCGGAAAATTCCAAGGAACGCTAACTCCTGCATTGGATCCCACAAAATGTTTCCGTAATTTGGTTCTCCAAATCTCAAGATCCCCTGATGTTTTCATCGCCTCACAAAGTTCCTTTGCAAACCCCAGTTCAACAAGCTTACTTGCCTTCCATACCCCACAACCATGTAATCCCTTCCCATAATCTCCTCCCCTCAACAACACAAAAAGTAACCAGCCCTCCATATCAAAACCCGGATGTTTGCTTTGAATGATACTCGCTCTATAAAGCACCACTTTATCCAAATCTTTCATCCCACTCCTCTTCGCCGTCCACCCACCACCACCTTTCCCCTTTTCCTTCTTCTCCCCATTCTCCTCCTCCTCCTCCTCATCACTGTAACAAAATCTCATCAAAACCCCACACCCAAACATCAACGCATCACCATCCTCCGTCCAAACACAATCCACCATCCCTCTCCTCTGCAAAACCGCACATTCCGCTTCCGCCTCCCCGGGCGCCTCATGCCACTTCACTCCTAAAAGCTTCAAACAACTTTGCAAAACTTCGCTTTTATACTTCCACACTCCACCTCCTTTGGCACCATATTTCTCACCCGGTTTGTAAGGACCATCTGCTACGAAAACCAGCTGGATGTTTAATTTCAAGAGCCGTAGAACGACAGATATAAGGTTTCGCTCGTTGAGATGGAGATTTGCATATTCTGAGATTATTCAGTATCAGATTTAGAATCTACAAACGCACAAATGAAGTTCAAATCGCAAAAAATACCTTTACAAAGTTTCGCTTTGTTACTAATATATAATTTATGTCTCCAAGTTGCCTCATCAACCGCTATCCTCAAGGGTCTTTTATGTTGCTCGAAATGTTGGGTTGCAAATTCGGCAAGATTAACAGTTTCTTTGCAATCGGCGATGAAATCCCAGAGTCTGATTGATACATGTTGTGTCAGTGATGCATGTATTGTGACCGGTAAGAAGCAAACGAAAACTTACCCAGGAATGCCCATTTTGGGGGTTGGAGAGAAAGAGATGTGCACAGGGAGATGGTGGGGTGGATGAGCTAGCTTAATGAGGCATGTGAGTGGGTTTCGAGGTCGCCGGCCTTTGAAAAGATCAAGTATCAATCAATACGAAGGTCAAATCTTGACTGTTTTCACGAATGAGTAGGATTGGTTTCTTTATGGTGGCGTAAGATTAGTTTGAGTTATTGAGGTAGGGGAAAGATATGGAAATTCCAATTCCTTTATTCGAAATCCGTATCCCTCTGATATGTAAACAATATTTCTGTCATAAAATATATCAAGCCATTTCGATAGTTATGAGACAACTAACGGATGGAATTCCAATTCTATTTGTTTGTTTGTTTGATCAAAATATAAATACGGTATAGCTAAGCTTGTCACTAGTAACAGTCCCGAGGAGGATTGCTTTGTCGGGATTGCTTTTCATTTCAAATAGACGATTCAAGGAACAGGATACACGGGAGTGCAATGCAATGACCAACGATATACGATTACTTCGCTGAAAGTACTTTTTCTATATAACATAATTTGCGAAGGCACTCTTGGTGGTAGATATCACCATTAAATCTTTTGTAAGTATTATACAAGCTATGTGCACCTGCAGCACATGAATGCCAAATCAAATGATTATAAGCAAAACCAAAAACATCTCCTAATACTATTCGCTCAAGTAATTTGCGCCACATGAAAATAAGGTATGATCATCAAGTCGTAAAGTCGTAGAATTTTCAAATGGATGAATCAGAAAAGAACCCATCAAAATCGTCGTCCTTAATACCCGGAGGAAGAGGTTTGTTAGTGAGTGGTGAGACTTTGGAGATTCCGTGTGCATTTGGCGATGCGCTGTGAATGTACTTTTGAGCTGTTGGTGTAGATACTGGCTTAGACATATCGGAATCGAAATGCCTAAGTCGAGCTTCACGGATGGTATCCAGTTGTGAGTTTTGTGATGAGATTGGGGTAAAGTTGTGATTGCGAGCACTGGTAGTGGGAGTCTGGTTCTCTTCGTCCGAAGAGTCATCGAGTGTGAGGTCGATGGTTGTACTCGAAGATTTATTTGTATCTCTCAGTTGAGGGTATTTCGGATTCCTATCCAATCCTGCCAACTTACGCACTGGATCCTCCCTGCTAGACGAAGGGATATTTCGAGATTGATGTGAAACTTCAGAGTGTGTGAACGCCGATTCTGTAGAAGTTTTGGCAACTGACCTAGGTTCTGAGATCTGCTCTGATGTACTTTTAGCTCTCTTTGGTGGTGGCTGTTGATGTGGCGAAGAGACAGTGTTGGTCAGAGCTATTGGCGATCCGGCACGTTTTTTACCTTTGGAAATTACCTTGGGAGACACCACAGTTTTATTGCGCTCAGAGGATGGTATAGCTGGTGGAAGAGCTTTTTTTGTACCATGTTCAATAATACAAGCCAGTAAATCCTCACACTTGACCATTTCAGTGATTGGTGCTACTTTTCCGTTTCGACCTTGATTCGTGAACTCATGTCTCCAAGCTTGTACGTCCATGAATGTTACCGCAGATAGCAGTACCTCTACATTCTTCTGAAGGACGGGCGATTTCTTCTTGGTAATGACATTAAGTTTGTAGCAGTTGTTACTCGCTTCTTGCCCTGGCTGCGTAGATGCAAGAGAACGGACGAGAAGAATAGGTATAATATATTTGATATATTCAGCTACCCAAAAATTGAATATGGGAGCGATGAATCTTTGTAACTCCATCTCGTCAAAAGAGGGGTTCCAAAACTTTCCAATATCGCTCGTAATTCTCTCGGGTGAGACTAAGGGCTTGTTGTAAAGCCCAACAATGCGAGTGTCCGGAAAGTTATCTGGTACGTCAATCCGTTTGTTGATGCGTGCAAGATATTCGCGAAGTCTGTTTCTCCAAGTTGGAAATTGGGCATGAGATGCGTTGCAAAGGTCCTCGCCAAAACCTTCCTTCGCAGTCGCTATTTGTAACGCTAGAGCAGCGCCACAGTTTGTAAGACTTTTGCCGTCTTTGCTGTAATCACCCCCCTTCAAGACAGCGAATAACACAAGACCATCTCGAGTCAAGCCTGGGAATTGTTTTTGTATTTTATCTGCTCGATAAATAATGATATTATCGAGGTCAACCTCTCGCCTTGTCTCATCAGATTCGTTGACCCAATCTTGATTGTTTCCAGGCCTCTTTACTTTGGGTTTTTTAACATGGCAGAAACGTATTAGAGGTGTGCATCCGAACATGAAAGCATCCGAATCTTCTGTCCAAACGACATCAACTACCCCACGGCTTTGCAAAGCTGCGCACTCAGCCTCGGCTTCACCGGGTGCTTCATGCCATATTACGCCTAGGGAAGTCACTGTCTTTTTGAGGAGTTTGTCATCCTGTGAAAGATATTTGTACCATGGCGATTGCCCACCATATTTCTCTTTTGGTCGATTACTGCCGTCCGCGACAAAAATCAATTGGATATTCAACTTAAGAAATTTCAATATCTTGTAGAAAATGTTCTTCTCGTTTGGATTCGCAGGTGGGACCTCTGGGGACAAACTAAATGTTAGCGGAGGATATCAATGTCTGATTCGGCATGGTGAAGGAAGATATACTTTTACGAATGGCTTCCACTTCCTTTTTATCTAAATAACACTTAAACTTCCAGATAGAAACATCAACTGCTATTCGAAGGGGCCTTCTTTCCCTCTCAAAATGCTGGGCAGCAAACGCAGCAGTTGATATATTCTCTCCGATTTCAGCTTTGTCGAAAAGCTGCCAGAGTCTGGAGAAAGAATGTTAGTTAGCTTAGATTAGTGAGCCATAGCAAAGCATAGCTTACTCTGGTATACCCATCCTGCATGAGCTTACTCTAGTGACGAAGCCAGGGGAGGTACGCCAATTTATCAATCAAGACTAATTTATGCAAGGAAGATTGGATTGTGAGGAGAACATTGAGTTCGGGTCGCGTCGCGTCGCGTACCTACTCATTGGTAATTATTGCAATCACGTCTCAATCAGGCAATCACGTGCGCTTCGCTATTCACTACCTTGGGAAAGAAGCACTTCCTAGGTATTCAAAGGATCAACCCATTGAAACTTCTGGAAACTATCTTTATATTCTTTGGTCTAATGAAGCGACAAAAGTAATTTCCCGAATGGTATTTGCTAGGGAACAGAAAGCCACCACCGCAACAAATACTTCCTCGGCGCACGCCAGAACTAAAACTGCTGCACCGCCAATGGGTGACTGACGGGACACTTCTCAACTTTCGGAATTTCAACAAATTCATTCTTCGATTGCTTGATAGCAGAATTCATATTTTCATCATTCAATCTCCAATGAATCATTGCAACAATCCCCCAGATATACGAATTGATATTTCTAGGCATGGAGAGACATTTCCAAGTCCACTTTTACCATATCCGTACACCCACTGGTGCACCGATCGCGATTGCTCGCCTCAAGAACTGGGATTCGTGCTGCGATAGTTACTACTGGTTTGTTATCGATTAGTCTCAAAAATCATGCTCTTAAGCAAATATCTAGCTCCTGTTTCGGTTAAACAACACAATGCCATGGCATAATGGAATTCTCACAGTATCAGTTGGTTCAACTCGAACGACAAAGCAAGAACCACCTCAGAAAGATACTGAATGGCTCCAGTGATACAAGGAAGAACAACACAAATCAACATGATACCTTTGTAACAATCTTCCGATTTCGAATCGATCAAGGTTTGCGCAAACTAAGGCTGCAATAAAAACATATATTTCGTGATACCTACTTTCTCCTCACATATTTGAAAACTACATCCTGCGGCCTATTAACCTGCAACGTCAATTTCGGCGAACTATCCTCCAAAATTTCCATCAACCTCCTCCTCGCATCCTCCTCGCTCTCCCCATCTCTCCTCACAATCTCCACATTCCACTTCCGGAAAATTTCATACAGCACGCCGACAAATTCCACCTGTGACATTTTCATCCCAGGGCAATAGCGGGGTCCATGGGACCAAGCTAAAAATGTGCCTTTGGGAGGTTCTCTAAAGGTTTCCTTCTTTGAGGAAGGAGACGTTTCGATCCAGCGCGAGGGCCGGTAATCTAATGAATCTGCACCCCATATTGAAGGTAAAGTGTGGATTACACTGGTGTTGAGCAGGACTTCTGTTTCGGGGGGAAAGTTGATGTTTTTGATGGTTTGTGCTTGTGGTGTTCGGCGGGCTATGGTAGGGACTAATGTATATAGACGGAGCGTTTCGTACTAAATTCAGGTAAATATCAAGTCAATTCCAAGCATCTAAAGTATTTGGCTTCAAAGTGAGGCTGGAGGTTGATACATACCATTAGTGCTAGAGAGCGAGTAAGAAGAGGAAAGGTGGTAGAGTACTCGGAGTCAGGATGTAACTTTTCGACTTCGTCGATCTCGGCGGTGATCCAATTTTGTAATTCTGGATAGAGTGCTAGACACATGATAGCATACGAGAGGGTATTTGCCGTAGTATCGAATCCTCCAACGGTCTGTATTTGATTAGAACTGTTCCGGGCGATTCTCAAACGAACTTATTCTGAACTTACCATAGCGAACAAGTTTCCAGTAACGTCTTCATTTGATAAATAAGTCGACGTCTTTGAGCGCGAAAAATCCGTACCCTGATCGGCAATTCTAACCAGAGAAGTGAGGAGAGAATTTCGAGAACTGGGAGAACGTCTTTCTTCGGCAATACTCTGATTCAGGTGAAGGGGAAACTCGGCTTTGGCAATACCCATATTCTGTACGGAAGTCGGCATGTACTTTAAAGTTAAGTATTTCGTAGGTATGAATACCGTAGCAAATAGATTGTGTACAATAGTCAGTAAACACGATATGAATGTAGTTTCGAATCCTTCTGGGGGTGTTTTCGCATTCACAGCTTCTCCCCAAGATTGACGAGTACCAAAGCAAACGAATGTAATCACGTTGATAGTGATGGTCCTCAAGCCTTCGAATGTGACGTTGGTTGAGCTTGATGCATCGTTCATAGACGGTCTTGACAGCGTAGAAACCATATCTTGAGTTTGTGTTAGAGATTCATTCCAGACTTCTTTCATGATTCGCTCATTCAAAGCAGGCGCTACAATTCTTCGATGTCTTTGCCAATCTTCTCCTTCTGATGCACTTATATTTGGCCCCCAAACATCCATAACCCCTACACCCGAGTTAGCTTTTGTCGTTACTCAACAGAGATAAGAGAAAGCACCTACGGAGAGCAATCTCATTTTTCGTAAAGTCTTTTCTTCTTGTTAAGGCCTCCTCAGCTACTTCAGCGTCTCCGACAAAGATTGTATTTTTCCCAGGTGTAACAAGAATAAACGAAGTACCCCATTTTTCATGAACAAAATGCTTGCAATAATGTTCCCATGCGGGGATCGTTATCTTAACTCTATCGAAGATGAATTGAGGCAAAACTTTTGATAGATTCGAATAACCGACAGTTGCACAAATGATAAGCCTACAAATGATTATGTTTGAGAAGATGAGGTGAGAACAGTAGGGCAGCAATCACTAACCATAATGGATTTGCCGAACCCCATAAGCCAAATTTAATAGGCAAGCCGGAATTTTTCGCAGCACGATGATTACTTGGCAGAGCAGATAGATACCATATTGTGAAAGCTAGAATCAGCAATAGTGAGGTCAAGAGAATACCCATTTTTCGATATCTTTCTTGATGATTGTTGATGATTGACTTTATCAGATTCTGAGAGGGAGTGCAGTTCATATATATATGTCGGTTGCAACCACCACTTTGTTCAACATGACCTTACTTTGTTGGCACTTGCCTGCATACATAGATCTGTATCCTAGTCTTTGCGGGACCATAAAACCCCAGTAGTACATCGATGACACAAAACAATTGTTGTACTCCATCGCTAAGAAGCTTCTCATGGTCTAAGAAGTGACTTCGGTTGCTAACCGATGCAGCTTCTGGAGATTTTAGCGTGTACGGTAGTTTCGACGATCTCGTTCGATCTCAACGGTTCTTAAATGCTGCCATTAAATCCAAAGCGAGATGAATGACACCACAAAGAATAGTACCAAGAACAACTAGAACATCTGAAGAAATGCCCCAGAAAAGGCAAACAATTGAAGAATTGATTGCGGACGTAATCTTGTTAGGGATGAAACTTACAGGGTCGGTTGGGTAAAGTATGGCTAAATACAAAAGATGTGTTTGAATTGGCCAATCAAATCTCTTCCCGAGATCAGTCCCAAACCCTCGGTAGGTATCGACACGACATTTTGAATATCCCAATTCAGATTTGACAGTCAATTGACCTTCCTTTTCGCTTGGAATCGGTTTTGAGATCTTATTTCAATACATATTTGACGCAATCCTTTGAAAGTTCAAAGCCCGATAGCATTTTCAATATTTGTCTTGGTGTGCGGATTGCGCGAGACAGATGTAAACAATCTCTTATAATTGATTTGCTTTTCTCTCCTCTTGCGTCTTCTTTTCGTTTGATAAGTGAAATTGCTGTTCAATAAGTATATTCGAATTTGATCAAAAAAACCAAATCAGATCGTTAGTTTCCCCCTCAGAAGACGAGAACAAAACGTATCATAACACGTTCGAGCATTTTCGTCCACAAACATTAGTTTCTGACGCTAAAAGTGATAGCAAGAGCCTTTTCAACACATAATGTTGGTCAATCTGAGTTGGATTGTATTGATCTCTCGAGTCTTACAACTCCTCTGTCCAACGCTACTATTCTTTCACTGAAGTGTCCAAAAACTTCTTAATGAATTCATCCAGTATACCTTTTCAGAAAACTCCAAGGGGCTAGCATCAATCTTCTAGAAGTATGTACCATTAATTCAATACTACTCCAAATTCAATGAACCCTTTCACAGCTTTACTTCGGTTACTCCGATGACTGTAACGACCACGGATTTGGTGATCGCAAATCTGGTGACGAGAAGTTTGTGGTGGAAATGGTACTGCCATTAAAATAGCATGGGATGTGAGTGTCCGTATTGCTATTGAACCTGCTGTGGCATGTTACATTCAAAATGCTGATTTCAGCACATGTAATTTTTGACCCTATTACCTATTTCTATTCTAATATATGGTCTCTGAAGATAGAGACTCTTGCTGTTTGGCTGTGATGACATCGATTGGCGATTCTCTGATCGAGTCAACAGTTCTCAGTTGGAAGGTATTTCGTGCGAAAATCGAGGAAGGTGTAAAGGAAAAATGGTATTCACAAAATGTTCCTACTTTCTTCTTCTTACGCTTCTAACCGAACGTGAATAAGCTTAAAGTGGTAATCTGTTGATAAACATGTGCCACGGCCTATAGAATTGTCCATAACATTCTAGTCAAGACGACGCAGATTCTTGAGACGAACACTCGTTTGCGGCTGCTCAAATCAGCGAAACTCAAACATCTATCAAGAGTGATAATATTGTCTTAGAGAATATCTTAGCGTCCAGTCTTTGTCGCTGTCTGCTCTTACCTACACTTGATGCTGTCCCCAAGTTTTGACTCGAAGACCCATGTCGCGATACTTTGGAGTCCCTTGAGACGGTCCCTTCTTCTTTGTAATATCAATGGTATAGCTCTTGCGAGTTTCCTCAAGCAAAATCCTATTCTCAAGATACATTGATCGCATCTAGACAGAGAGGACAAGCTTATGGCAAGATGTTATGCGCAGCTTTCAGCGACCTGCCAGATTTCGAATTGCACTAAAAATCGTGATACGCGATACTAGATTCGCTCCACGATCGATCAAACAACGGGATGTTGGGGACCATCCATTGGTGGTCTAGTATCGAGTTGTGTTTGCCAGCTGTTATTCCTTTCACAAGAAAATAACAAGCGTAAAAGAGCATTCGACATTTTTTTCTTCACCACTTCGCCGCCAAGAAGGATTCACAATCACAATCACCTGTTTCTCAAGAAGTTTGATTTCCTGCCTTTGATATGCAGATGATATATAGGAGATAGAATGCGCACAGCCTGCTCAAAAGACGCGACAATTGAAAGAGTGTTTCCGTTGGGATAGTGTTTCGATTGGGACATTAGCATATATCGCATAGGACGCTCAGTATGTTTAGTGAAGCTGTTGATACCTTTGGTTGGAGGGTACTGCTGAGATTAAAGGTGTGGGAGGTAGATGGGAGGACGTGAGACGTTAGTAGTGTCTAAGATAAACTTTAAAGAGGATCCCCTGATTATGTTAATTGAAATGTATTGGACCTCTACTATGGAAACCTCAACTCGAGAATTCGAGGTATTTCCATATCATTCCGAAGTTTCGCGAAGTTAAAGTAAAGTATGAAAGCGAAAGGACTATAGTGCCTCGAGAGTGCCTAGTATTGATCAAAACCATTCATCCTTAATCACAGTATCTCAAAATCAGCCAGACAATTCGAAACAGAAGGCCGTTCGAGAATTAGGGAGAGAAGGTAAATACTACTACTTGTCCATGCAAGGTAGGAAACTCCTGTCAATCTATCCATTCCATATGGACGAGGTAAGGTACTGTCTATCCAACCAGGGATGATGCATATACACCAACGTTCAAATCCGATTCTAGATGTGCAAACGGCCATAGCGGGGCCAAAGCCTACCACATAATCAATCATGATACAAGTATTCATTTTGTGACCGTGAGTATCTTAGTTTCTAACCAAGCTTCACCAACATATGTAACCTGATGCGATTTGTGTAGAAATCGATCTCTCAGGGGCGGGAAATATGATTCATCTGAACCCTTTCGTTTCTCACAAGCGCTAGTCAATGTATTCGTCTTCGCAAAATTGGAGATAAAACATAGTCTGTCTGGGCAGTATAAAAATCGAACACGAAGAAGGTCTCAGCATTATAACACGATACACGGCACTTGGTCAAGAGAGTCATGTTCATATACTTGAAAGACTACCAGGTACATACCTAGCAATCACCTCATACCCGGGTTTTCCGGCGTGTGGTCTTACTCCTGTTTCCGCGCTTACATAACTCAGTCTTCGTATCTGGTGATCCGACAAGATTAAATAGCGGCCGCAATTACGAGACTCCATTGCATTTTTCGACGCACTTAAATTTTTACCTTCGAATTTCTCTCGCTTCCATGGAATCTTCCTTACTTACATAATCCATATAATCATAATCATCAAGTTCCCTAACATTTCTCGTTCTTCCAAGCTCCAAGGTTACCTAGTACGCACATAAGAACGGAATCTCCCATTCTTGGTATTTTCCGACCGCTCGAGGACTTCAGACGGCATTTACATTCGTCCGAATGCAAAATCCGCCAATTCAGAATTACCAACACCTTGAGGACACGACAGAGGGGAAATAATCCTACATGTGCCTACATATCAGATGATATCTGGGCGCATGGCGATCTCGTGGCTTTGCATCGTGGCATGACAAGTTCTCCAATATCTGAGCCACGGTCCCCAGATCAAACCATCAAACCATCACAATGTTACGAACGGTCAAAACTCGGCGTCAAATTTGACGTTGCGGTCTTTTGGGGCGGACGACGAAACATCCTTACATTCTCCGTTTAAGTGATCGTAAAAAAAAACCAAGTTGTTTTAACTTGTTTATTATTCGATGGATCGTGATGTTGACTCTTCTAGCGTCTCTACTTTCTCTCCGCCAACCAATGAGCATCAGGAAACCCTCCCAAGTACATACGAGAATGCCTGTTAGAAAACCGGATCTACGTATTATGGACACGGGACTCGGACTCAGCCTTATGCCGATCCGTAATCACGCTCGTAAAAAAATTGACGTGAACCCCAATCGAGAATTTTGCTACATTTTTTTAACTTTGTTCTCGTGGTAAGTTTCTATTGAGTCTCGAGTCTTGTCCGTTTGGATGCTTAGGCTACAATGAATCAAGTGGAATTCCACGGAGGGATTGGATTCCTGGTTCCCCCTTGCTAGAATGGAACGGTGAGTCAATTGTGTGTATATTATATTATATTATATTATATTATATATGTATCAGGGTGCTCCCCTCCGAAAGTTTTGTTTACAAAAAGCTTAATCACATGCTTGTTACATTGAAATAGTCGAAAGATACCTACTGCAACTTTTTGCATCCAGAGTTGAACTGGCGTGCTACCCATTCCACACTCCCAAAATCACAATCTTTGTCGCAATGGGAAACACACATTCACATCATCACCGACATGAGTCGAGAGGAGATTCAAATTCTCAATGTCCATACAAACGAACCTCAAGAACAAACTCTGAACGTTCAAACAATTCAACATCCACCTCATCCACCTCATCTCCATCAGTATCACGCTCACAATCTGCTCGATCTCCTTCATCGCCGCGAAAGTTCTTGGGTCGTCATTCACTCTCATTAAATGATTCACATAAAATACGAGAACAGACCATGCAAGAGCCGGAAAAAAGACCTCCGATTAGGATTGGATATCCGTACTATGAGGAGGTTACCATGTTAGCTGAGAAGAAAGAGAAGAAGCATAAGAGACATAGTTTGAGAGGTAGATGAGATCTCGGTTATCTCAACACTTATTCGGCGCTGGTTCTCGAATTTCATCGCTGGGTTGATGGAGAAACGGCGTCGGAGAAGGAAATACACAACGAAGTCTATGAGAAAGGAGTATTTTGATATTTGGGAAACAGGAGTACAACGAGACGGAGATTCCCAGGACAGAGGATTGGGATAGCGGACGATATTGATACCCAACTCATTTGTGCATTTATTCGGCGTTCAATACACCGATAGGGTGTATGGCAGAGAGGCATGGAATATGGCATTCTATTTGTACAAACTTGAAACTTAAAGAAATTTAAACAATTATCTAACCAAATCCACGCTGATCTCTTAAGAATGTAATCTTCCATTGTCATTATGAGTATCTTGAGATTAGAACACCATTGCGCCCCTTCTACAAAACATATGTACATCACACCGACCCAACACCCTATGACCGATAATACCTAGGTCGTCTCTCCTCACTCTTAAAACATATCCGAAGGGCCAACAGGGACTTGCAGCAACGCTAACAATGCAGCGGCAATCGTAGGCCCCAGTGCTGTAATAGCCCTAGGATTAAAAGTAATGGTCCAGACATTATTTATCGTGCATCCAGATGCGATAGGAACCCCATTAAACCTGTCGATAAGAAACGTAAACGCATCACCCGCGCCAGTGATTGCTTCAGTAGCATGCCCCCCAAACATATCACGAGCATATTTGATATTAGCTCCTTGAGAACAAAGCTTGCTGACAACAGCATCTGTATCCTCGACTTTCGAAACCTCATCACCGATCGCCTTATAGAGAAATATGGGCATTTTTGGGGTCCCATATATACCCATTTGTCCAGTGATGGCCAGGACATCCTTTGCAATATTGGTAAACAGGGTTGATAATCCATTATCAAGATATAAACCTATGTCCTGACCAAAAAAACTTGCGATATTGGTACCTAAACATTGAGTGATGCTTTGTAAAATTTAGAAGCCGTTGATGGGACAAGGTTTTTTAGGAGATATTCTTTTAATTCTGGGTAACCATTGGTGAGACCGATAACTCCAGCGGGAATCAAACCGGTGAAGAGACCTTTGTTAGAGGAGAGCATCACAGATGTAATATTCGGTACAAGGCCACCCAAAGCAGTTCCCTTGAAGTTAAGCTCTGGTTGCGTAGGAAGGTTGAAGTTTCTGCTGCCCATTCAGAAGCCAGAGATCCGCCAGAATAGCCCCACATTTGATACTCGGCTTGAGATGAAATGCTAGTCAAATCCCCAGATGACAGAGCCGCACGAACAGAATCAAGAGTCGCTTGACCAGCTTGTATACCGGAAGTGAAGGCTGATTGAAGACCCTCGTAATCAGGAAGATTGACTATCCACCCTTGATTGAGAGCCAGCAATAACCAGCAAGGTCTCAGCCGCACAGAGCCCCCATTTTTTAAACTTGACCCCAACTGTAATATATAAGATGGTGCACAATTTGGCCACGCAGCATCTGTAGCCATTTGGTAGGATAATAACCTCGATGAGTTCGCGTTTTGGGCACAATGATTGTTGTGACTGCTGCTGATGCATCCCTCAAACTATCAGTCGTTCTATAGAGAAGTTGATATGCGGCCTTGACTTGGAATGGCATGACACCTCCAATTGAAAGATCGTCTATTGATCTGCTGCGTAAGATCGTGCCCGGCTGAGAGTTTTCAAGTCCTGTTGGTGGGACATAAAAGGGATCATCTGTGGGAGGTATTGGGAGTGTATGTTGCAAAAGTTGATCACTGGTCGGGACTGCAAATGTGGTGGTAACCCAAAGGAAAATGTACCAAAAAGCCGCGAAAATGAACCTCATATTTACAAGCTGTACACCAATCATTCAATTTGAAAGAATAAAATGAACAGAATTGTGACAGTGATTGAAAAGATGGGAAAGCATGGTAGGTAGAATACAAAGGTACATACCGGCAGATTTATATGAGAACTTCATACTCAAGCTCTGCCGTCGCTGATATATAATTAGACACGTGAATATATGTTTCTCGGTATCTAGCCTCTTAGCACGATGAAAGGCACACGAGATAAGAGTCTTGTGTAGAACTTGCATTGTGCAGATGGACAGCCACGTTGCCCTTATACTTTAAACCGAGTTGTTTAATATTAGCAGATCGCACTTCGATCAGGTAGAAGACCCTTAACTTTTCGGAGACATTGATCATTATGTTAATGATGTGAAAATCTGGGACAACGAATTGTTAGAAGTCTGCAAACTCATCGTTGATTAAAGTTTGCGAGAGGGTTGTGATGGCAAGGAGAGGTAAATCCGCACATGACAAGTAACTGCATGGGGAATCCAGTCACGTGGAATTAACCTTAAAGAAAGTTAAGCCTTAACGGCAGTCCATTTGATTGTCACACTACGCTGAAGCGAAATGACCAAGCTAGCTTTTAGTCTCGAGAGAACAAGACGATCAACGTTGATGCCACATGGAATATGATTAGATTGTCCTTTCTGGGTCACTTCAATGAGGCCAAGAAAAGCTTCTAGGCGGCTCGCTCCCATTGTCCAAACTCATTTTGAACACGATCAGATGATACCACCTCAATACTTCAACGTAAAAATTGGAAAAAGCCACAGACTAATCCTACTCCATCGCCCAGGTTCAAATTGAACGTCAGACTGTCGTTGGCCAGTTCGTGGTGCTCTGGGGTGACTGGATTGCTTTCCCCACGTCGAACGGATTCCTCTTGAGAGGCTTGAAATGACGCCTCTACCATCATCAATTGAAAATGTCTCTATATCCGTATCCCTTTTTTGGCATTCAACCAATAGGTTCCTTCAAGCTATACTACATTCAACTTGGAGCCGTATTAACCTTGATTTCATTTCCGCCGAGACAATATCTTACAAGCCTTGAAGAAAAAAACCCCATTCTACAACGAAACTTCGAAAGGGATGACATTCATCATGTCAATGTCTTGGGTGTTTTTTGCAATGTCACCCTGCACGGTTCATCTCAGCTGGCCTCTAGAATGATGATCATCACTGTAGCTGGCCAAAGTTATTGGCATGGCTTTCCAAGCAAGCGCTGGTTGTGGATTGAATGCAATTCTACTTTGTACATATAAATTGCTTTTCTCACTCACAATGGCAGGAGGTTAATTTTTTGGTCAATTGATTCCCCGTTCTTCATCATGCTGTCTATAATCATTCATCTGCTATTCACAGTAGCTTCTGCTGCTGTTCTCTCGGACAGACAGACGTTATCAGGTAGTGATGTTTGTCAGCAAATCAGCGGAAACATTACCGGCGAGGTCTACTTCCCCTTGAGTTTGGAACCCAATTTTAAGAAAGATATTGAGCATTATATGACATCCAGTGTATGTTTTGACCCACTTGTTAATTCCTTCCAGAAGAACTTTCTTTTATCTTCTCATTGAAGGTAGTGGAGAAGAAACGGGGCTAAGGGGTTGCGAATGTTCATGATGTTCTCCATATAGACACAGATACCAATGTGCGTTGTTGAAGTTGCTAGCGATGCAGATGTTTCTACCGTCATTAAGATCATAGGATCTAGAAGAATTCCCTGGGGAGTCAAATCCGGTGGACATGCGTCGAATCCTGGATTCTCTAGTACTCCTGGAGTCTTCATCTCTCTAGCGAGACTAACTCAGGTTACACTTTCTGAGGACCAAAGTACAGTGGAGTTAGGTACCGGAAACGTAGGTTAATCTATCAAAGCTCTGCTTGTGTTCATAAACATTGACAAATAAAATAGCATTGGACTGATGTTTACACGATCCTCGAAGGAACGGGTGTTAACGTTGTTGGGGGACGTGTCGTTGGTCCTGGTGTCGGTGGTTTCAGTCTTGGAGGGGGTTATTCCTGGTTGACAGATCAATACGGTCTGACTTGCGACACGGTCGTCTCCTACAATCTTGTCCTTCCTAATGGAACCATAACCAAAGTTGATTCTTCGAATCCTGATCTCTTCTTTGCCCTCAAAGGCGGTTTAAATCGATTCGGAATTGTCACAAGTATTGTTCTTAGAACGGTTCCACAACAGAACATGGTGTACGGCGGTATTCAGATATATGGGATTGATGCTATTCCTGGTCTCATCAACGCCACGAACACATTTCAACAAGAGAATACAGATGATAAAACCCAGGTGATTCTCACCATTAATGGTGGTTTGGTCCCGAATGCCATCCTAATTTCATTCTACGATGGTCCAACTCGACCTGCAGCGTTCGATCCTTTCAACAATGTTGGCGCCATTCCATTAATATCTAGTGTCGAGCCTCAATCTTTCGCATCATTTGCTAAAGCCACTCCGTCCAATCTCCAAGCCGGATATAGGGGAGCCTTTCATACCATGATGACTACCAGTCTTACAGTCGGTTTTATGCAAGCAGTCTATAATGAATCTAGCTTCTACGGAGCTCTCGCCATCCTTCATAGTGGAACGTTCATCTCTTACGACATTGAGCCTTTTACCGACTACGGTAAATACGCCACCGATTCTGCGTTTCCTCACGCCAGCTCTCCACTGCCATTAAATCTCTATTTCGCTTGGACTTTGGCAACCGAAGATGCATTCTGGAGAGGGATTATGCAACAGAGCATAGACCATCTAACTGAGGTTGCTAAAAGGGAGGGCATTTATTCCGAAGATCAATATGCATATCCGAACTATGCTTTGAGCACTTATGGCGGTGCTCAGATTTATGGACCAACGAATGCAGCGAGGTTAAGAGCAATTCAGACAAAGTATGATCCAAATGGGGTCATGCTTCTTGCTGATGGATTCAATATCTAGGGGTATATGATGATTTTCAATGATGGTGAAGGAAGAATATAAGTAATTTTTATTAGATTAATAACATGAAGTTGGTAACATTTAATAATTGATATTGACTCATTTCCGGATGATAGTAGAAGACTGAAAAATTGAGTTCATGAAATGCCAGAGTTTGCTGAACAACATCCATTTGGAATCATGTTGAACGGCATGCAGTAGGTGGTATGCAGGTCCGTTTTGTCGTGCTACTAATAAAAATCATATATTGAGTGTACGAAGATAATCCAGATTATGTCGAGTGGACACTTTGAAATAGCTATGTAACGGAGTTTCAACATTTGCGAAACCAATGATCAAAAATCTTGAATTTTGATCTGGCATTTAACTTCTCTTTGTTGTCCTCGGTGTATGTAGTATAAACGAATTGCATTGATGGGAATAGATACAGTATATTCGTTTTTTAATCAACCACATACGATATCGAGGAGATAACGAGATGTTCCATCTATTTAGTCTCTATTATATCTGACGGTATATCTAAAATCAAAATTTAAAATATATTTAATTTATATAATATTTTGGTTGTCTACGACTGTAGCCTCTCGTCCCACACGAAAATCGAGCTCCAAAACCACCAACCAATCAAAACAAAGCCCATCGTAATCCTTACCGAACCACCTCAAATTTCAATTCCACTCCGAATCCACCCTAATACTCAATTGTATCCCACACCACCACCACTCTACCTCTCCTCTCATCTCAACACACCACATAATACACGCCGACGATGGCATCACTATTCACATCCCGCGCACTCCTGCGCAGTGCCCCTCGCACATTCTCTGCCGCAACTCCCGCCATCCGCGCCCTCTCTACCACACCAGTTCGTCCCGATGCCTCCGCTTCCACCACGGATAGATTCAGCAACATTCCAGATTTCAGCAAATACAGAAGTAAGAAGAGTGGTGGAAGTAATTTGGTTTATCAATACTTTATGGTGGGAGCTATGGGTGCTTTGACAGCCGCGGGGGCAAAGGCTACTGTTCAAGGTTTGTCTTTTTTCCTTCCTTTGGATATGGGATAGAATTTCAGGTCTGCAGAACGGAAGATGGTCGAACACTGGCAAGGATATTATGACCGACTAGAGAATTGGAGAAAATGATATGAACTGCAATTGAAGGAATTGCACCTACTGGATCCATGGACTGACGATTTACTTTAAACAGATTTCCTCGTCAACATGTCCGCATCCGCAGATGTTTTGGCCATGGCCAAGGTTGAGGTTGATTTGAATGCTATTCCTGAGGGCAAGAACGTACGTTCATTATTATGACATCTACCTCTTCCGACATGATCAAAAACAAATTCCTGACATGAATACACAAAATAGGTCATTATCAAGTGGCGTGGAAAGCCCGTCTTCATCAGACACAGAACTGCCGATGAGATCAAGGAGGCCGAGAACGTCAAGGTCGAGACTTTGAGAGATCCACAATCCGACGCCGACCGTGTCAAGAAGCCAGAATGGTTGGTTATGGTTGGTATGTATTATATTTTCTCCAATCCATACGCTCTAGTCGATGCAAGATATTAATGGAGAATCAAACAGGTGTCTGCACACATCTTGGATGTGTCCCAATTGGTGAAGCTGGTGATTTCGGAGGATGGTTCTGCCCATGTCACGGTTCCCACTACGATATTTCCGGCCGTATAAGAAAGGGACCTGCTCCATTGAACTTGGAGGTTCCAGAATATGATTTCGCCGAAGAATCTTCTTTAGTCATTGGTTAAATTAGAGGATCGAGTGGAGAGCGATTTTGTAGTTGTATAAAGTTGGAGGAGTGTGGATGGACGGAAGAGTGGAAGATAGATGAAACAACGTTTTTATTTTGAACGAGAGAGAATGATAGACCTTGATCTGGAAGCGTTATGGCTTTGTAGAAGGGGTGGTGGAATGGCCTTTGTACAAAAGATCGGATAAATGATATCGCTTCGAAAAGTTTCAAATTTTGGATTTAACCACTATGTTTATGGTTATTTTGTATGGAAT